CACAATGGAATATTATGCAGCCATCAAAAAGAATGAAATCTTGCCATTTGCAACGACGTGGATGGAACCGGAGGCTATTATGCTGAGTGAAATAAGTCAATCAGAGAAAGACATGTATCATATGACCTCACTGATATGAGGAATTCTTAATCTTAGGAAACAAACTGAGGGTTGCTGGAGTGGTGGGGGGTGGGAGGGATGGGGTGGCTGGGTGATAGACACTGGGGAGGGTATGTGCTATGGTGAGCGCTGTGAATTGTGTAAGACTGTTGAATCACAGACCTGTACCTCTGAAACAAATAATACATTATGTGTTTAAAAAAAAAAAAAAGAAGAAGATAGTAGGAAGGGAAAAATGAAGGGGAGCGGGAATCAGAGGGGGAGACAAACCATGAGAGACTATGGACTCTGAGAAACAAACTGAGGGTTCTAGAGGGGAGGGGGGTGGCGGGATGGGTTAGCCTGGTGATGGGTATTAAAGAGGGCACGTTCTGCATGGAGCACTGGGTGTTATGCACAAACAATGAATCATGGAACACTACATCAAAAACTAATGATGTATGGTGACTAATGTAACAATAAAAATTTTTTAAAAATAATAATAATTGCTGTGGGGCATCTGGGTGGCTCAGTCGCTTAAGCGTCTGCCTTCAGCTCAGGTCATGATCTCAGGGTCCTGGGATGGAGCCCCACATTGGGCTCCCTGCTCAGTGGGGAGTCTGCTTCTCCCTCTCCCTCTCCATCTGCCCCTCCCCCTGCTTGTGCTCTCTCCTCTCTCTCAAATAAATAAAATCTTTAAAATAATAATAATAATAATAATTGCTGTCATCTTCTGAATGTAAAAATAGCCCCATTATCTGAAACTCTTTCTGTAATCGTCTTCTATTAAAAAAAAATTAGTTGGCCTAAAATCAGGTATATAAATTATGGTACCGCTATACAATGGGATATTATTAATATACATTCAGTGATCTAGACATACATATATGTATATCCACAGTTAGGGGGAAGCAGGTTATAAAATAGCATTTATAAAATAGCATGTATAGGGGCGCCTGGGTGGCTCAGTCGATTAAGCGGCCAACTCTTGGTTTTGGCTCAGGTCATGATCTCAGAGTCATGAGATCAAGCCCGGTCTCCAGCTCCTTGCTCAGCATGGAGTCTGCTTGAGCTTCTTTCTCCCTCTCCCTCTACCCTTCTTGCTTGTGCTCTCTCTCTCTCTCAAATAAATAAATAAAATCTTAAAAAAATAGCATGTATAGAATAGAATGTTTTATTTTTATAAATATTCATATTTACATTCATTTTATATTTGCATAGAAAGGCCTAAAGAATATACACAAGACATTAACAGTGGCTATGACTGGGAATTACATGGAAGTAATTTTTATTTTCTTCTTCTCATATATCTGCATTTTCTCAAGTTGTTACAATTATTAAATACCCTTTTAATTATAAGAAAAATAACATAAACGTTAATTTAAAAAAAAAAGTGACTGACATACGAGTTCAGGTGCTAATGCAGCAAAGTACAAGAAATCACCTTTTTCCTTTCCTGTGACTTATGCAATGTAATGCAAAATAGTGCACTCCCAATTCCTCCATCTGGCACTTCTGGAGTCAGCCCAAAACCATCCCTGTGACCACTACCTCCTGATCTTCATCTATTCTTTATTCAATCATTCATTTTCTGATCACCTCTGGTGGACAAGGCACAGTGCTGGAAAGACTACTTTAAAAACATCCATTCCTCTTAAAAATCAGACACAAAATGCATTTGATGAGTTAGGGTAGGTTATGCTCTTTTGGTTTTTGATAATTAAAATTTTCACCTATCACTGCTCTTGGCTTCAGTATATCCTATACTTGATGTCTTACAGCGCATCTCTGTCTCCTTCTCCACCCTCACCCTAAATGTGGAGGCAGTGAAGAGTGAGACTGCTGAGTTTGGCCCACAGTGCCTTTAAATTAAAGGGTGCTTGAAAGCATCATTGTGACATCCCATTCAAGGATGCAACTCAAAAAGCAGCAGGGTCCGGTACCAGGAGTACCGGAAGATCACTCTGAGTTCAGTAAGCCCAAGGGGATGATGTGGCTACTCCATATCATTAATGACTATCTTCACGAGAGTGGCTGGTCCCTCCAAGCTCCATCAGAAAACAGGAAAACCTAATGATCAGACTCACCCTCTTTCTACAACCATAGATCTTGGCAGCTTTACAATGGCCCCATCGTGTGGTTTATTCCTTCTGCAAGGAGGACTCCCCATCCCCAAAGAAAAGTCCATTACAGAAAATCAAGGAAGCAGTGAACTGAGACATGCAACACATAATAAATCCTGCTCATGAATTATTCAATAACATCCATTACAGCTTTTAATATTTTAGGCAAGTCACTGATTTCCAAAAAGTAATACAAGACCATTTAGATGAATATGGAAGCTGGGAGAGCTGTATCTCATCTTTTTTTACCCAGTCAGGATTATGATAGTTTCAGTGAAGAAATTCCTGTTTTATATAAAAGAAGAAAGTTTCCCTCCCACCCTCTGTCTCTAGAGGTAGATCAAAACATACATTTTAGATCTGGTAAGACTGATAATGAGTAGACCATTAATGAGAGCTACAGCTATATGATTACTGGAACAAATGCTGCAAATGTAAAAAAAAAAAAAAAAATTTTTTTTGAGAGAGCACAAGGGGGGAGGGGTAGAGGGAGATGGAGAGAATCTCAAGCAGGGTCCATGCCCAACACAGAGCCTGACATGGGGCTCGATCTCCTGACTCTCAGATCATTACCTGAGCTGAAATCAAGAGTCAGATGCCCAACCAACTGAGCCACCCAGGCACCCCTGCAAATGTAAATTTAATGTGTGTTAGACACCATGAGCCTTATAATAGTAAAATAGTACCTGCCCTTTGCAAGTCCCCAAATAGGAAACACAAATGTTTACATAAATAATTTTATTGCAGGGCGCCTGAGTGGCTCAGTCGTTAAGCTTCTGCCTTCGGCTCAGGTCATGATCCCAGGATCCTGGGATCGAGTCCCGCATCGGGCTCCCTGCTCGGCGGGAAGCCTGCTTCTCCCTCTCCCTCACCCCCTGCTTGTGTTCCCTCTCTCGCTGTCTCTTTGTGTCAAATAAATAAATAAAATCTTTTAAAAATAAACAAATAAATAATTTTATTGCAAGATGAATTGGATACTTCTTTTTTTTTTAAGAGTTATTTATTTATTTGAGAGAGAAAGAACATGAGCAGGGAAGGGGCAGAGGGTGAGAGCAAATCTCAGGCAGACTCCCTGCTGAGTGGGAGCTCAATGCAGGTCTTGATCTCATGACCCTGAGATCATGACCTGACTGAAATCAAGAGTTGGACACTTAACCAACTGAGCCACCCAGGCGCCCCTGAATTTGATACTTCTAATAACAGAAGAATAAACACTATGTCTTAGGGACTTCAGGCACAAGCTCTGGAGGCAGACTACCCAGGTTGGAATTCCAATTCTACCCATCACTAGCTAGCTATGTAACCTTAACAAACTTAACCTTCTCTTCTACTTCAGTCTCTTCACCTATAAAATGGAGATAATAATGATATCTACACCTCATAGGATTATCGTGAGGATTATACGTGGCACAGATGGAAGTATTGTTAATGTTGGTATAATTATCACTAGCATGAGATACGGAGCACTCGTTCTGAAGGCCCTGGGAGAGCAATCCGTGGAATGGAATCTGTGGCCAAGTTGTGAATAATGGTAAGGATTTTCGTGTGCAGTGATGAGAGAGAAAGGGCATTTCACAATCAAAGATTAACCTGAGCACAGGCCTAGAAGTAGGAAGAAGGGGGTTAGTGCCCCGACGAGGCTGGTGGTGTGGCTACGGTCCCAGGTGTCTGAACTGGGGTGGGGAGGGCCAGAAGAAATAACACTGAAAGACGGGTCACATTGGCATCTGCCTGGAGGAGGTGACGAATACCAGGCTAACAAGCCGAAACACTTTCTGGAGGCAGTGACAGCCCAAGAAGCAGGGCATCACAATGGGGAAGAACATGGGATTCTGGATTTAAATTTTGGCTCCAACTCCTAAGAGCTGTGTGACCTTGGGCAAAGTACCTAATCTTTCTGTGCCTCTCTTTTCTCACATGGACAAGAGATGTGTTAAAGACTAAATGAGAGTTCATATGCAAAGTTCTCAGAACCAGTGCCTGGTGCACAATGACACATACGTGTTTGCTGATAAAAGGTAGAGAGCTATGCTACTCTTGATCTTGGGGTTGTGAGTTCGAGCCCCACATTGGGTGTAGAGATTACTAAAAAAAATTTAAAAAAAGGTAGATAACTGGCTGTTGGCGCCTCTTCCTGCCATCTTGATTGGCCCTTCAGAAAATTATCAGCAGCTGGTATGGTCAATGACAGGGTCAAGGATATAAGGCTGTTTTTCAGCCGTTCAAAAAAAAAAAAAAAAATACTACCATGAAAGTAAATGTTCCCTTTTGGACAAAAACTTCTATGGGGGCGCCTGGGTGGCTCAGTCGGTTAAGCGACTGCCTTCGGCTCAGGTCATGATCCTGGAGTCCTGGGATCGAGTCCCGCATCGGGCTCCCTGCTCGGCAGGGAGTCTGCTTCTCCCTCTGACCCTCCTCCCTCTCATGCACTCTCTCTCTGTCTCATTCTCTCTCTCAAATAAATAAATAAAATCTTTAAAAAAAAAAAAAACTTCTATGGTCCGTGAAAAAAAAAGTATCTCAAAGGAATGGCAAAGTGACAGCAGGACTAGAAGTAAGCACACACACACTTCTAGGCAACATGACTCTGAGTTTGTCGCAGACTTCTTCAGATCACCATGGCCATGCAAAGTAGAAAAATGCACCATTTACAAGAAGGTGGGATCTGTGCTAACTTTTGGATGATGGCAAAGGTTTTAAGATGAGTGGTGGGAGGGAAGGGCATAGGCCAAATGTATGGTCACAAATGCTCAGACAATCCCTAAGGAAAGAACTTACTTCCAGATCCATCCTTGACTCTAGGTCCTTCAGGCTTGGCCTCAGAAATAATGTTGGCATTGGCGTTATTCTCCATCTCGATCACAAAGTCACTGTCCTCCTCAAACTCAGGGTGACTAAAGATCCAATCCAGTGCTCTTTCCAGGTTATTATTCTAATAAAATAAAACATTTTTACAATGTATGCAGTCCCAGGGCCTCATTATATCCTGACCACTTGAACCAGAGTGTCAAGCAGATAAGACAGGCGGTCTGAATTCATTAGTCCTAAGTGCCTCTGAGTGCGAAGCTCTGACCCTGCATATGAAATGCACATTCAGCTGGCATTCTCCGAGTCTCCCAACTGAGGTCTGTAATTGGATTTACTGGAAAACAGTTCTGAGCAGCAGACCAGCGTTCCAAAGTCCATATCCGTCTGAGCTCAGCGTTTCTGCAGGCTGATGCTAATGATGGGGTACGGAACACCAAAGAGTCTGCCATTTGTTTAATACAGCCCTTTCTCGGCCATACTAGCTGCACATGCTACATTCCCTATCACCTGTGTTTTCTGCAGAGAACTATGCCGGGCAGAGGGGGGGCCAACAAGAGAGCCGCATTAGTGCCTTCTCTCCCTAAACATTAGCAGAATTCTTGAACTGCAGTAGAGACAAGATTAACGCCTTGATTGATGATGACAATACTGGTTAGTTAGGTACATTGTTTTAAACTTAACTCTGCAGTTCAAACCAATTGACTAAAAACATTGCTATCTTCCTCTGTGATATCACGGGCAGGTTAAAAAATCTGCTTAGACATCAACAGAATCGCCAATGAAAAGTCAGTCAGGAAAAATAAGTGGGGCAAAGCAAGTACACTGAATGAAACCAAGTCTGCTTGAGATAGTTCAAGCACATTAAAGGGAAACGGATTGTTCCAGCCACACTCCCGGAGTCAGCTGAGAGCTACTACGCCCTCAACAATGGACCCTCACAGGCAACCGGTCAGGAATCAGTAAGGACATCCTAAGGACATTAGGTAAGCAGGAATTAGTAGCAGATATCCACTCAAAAACATATACGGTGTGGCAAGGAAGGATGGGTTTAAAAAACAAACAAACAAGAACTTCCCTTTAATATTAAACAAACATCTGCACTGAAAGAGGAAGACTTCTATCTACCTTCTAGTTTCATGGTCCCTTCTCTCCTGATAACATCAGGAAGTACATGAATACCAGAAGAATCTTCTCCCTCCACAGCCACAAAAGTGGAGAATTCCCAGAACTGTTCAGTCTTCTCTTTGAGGACTTCTGAGAGACATTTCTCCAAGGTCTTGGTATCAGAAAAGCAAAATTTGTCCTAAAGAACTGCCTTATTGAACATGGAGTCTCATGCATCCCTCTCCACTCCAAGGCCACAAGGAAGCTCCAAGTCAAATCATGGAGCCCTGCTAATAATAAACACTCAGATGATAGGGAGTTTCTTTTGGTTTTGGTCTTTCGGTTTCTTTCATCTTGCCCCAGCTGAATTATCTCCCTAGGTTTTTTTTTTACTCCCTATTCTTAAACTGTATAATTTCCCCCAATCATTTATTTTAGCTGTACGTGGAATATATGCAAATAAATCTCTGTGGGCCATGGTGGGGTACAGAGCGAACAAACATGATTCCAAATGATCAAAGGACACTGGAAAATCTCCACTGCTACTGACAGAAATACACACCGACTCCAGGAAGAGGAGGGTATTCTCACACACAGTCTCATGTGCTCACCGTGGCCCGTAGTGCCTGAACAGCCTGATTTCGATGGAATCCCATGGAGGTAATGATAGCTACAATTTCCTCCGGAGGTTGGTTATCCAATCCAGTAGCACCAAAAACAGAGGCTCCAGCAGAAGCTGCTCCTCCATAACCAGGCATGGTCAGTGGTTCAGCAAAATCTGGGGAGGAGAATCACACTCAGACCCTTTACTTTTTTTTAGTCTTGAAATAAACAACACCATGGAGTTAAAAGGAAAAACACCTACAAAGTTATAATAATGAAGGCAGTTGGTACTGACATAAGGATAAACCTATAGATCAACTGAATGGAATTCAGAAAGTCCAAAAATAAACCCGCATATTTATGGTCAACTGAGTTTTGACAAGGGTACCGAGGCCATTCCAATGGGGTCGGGGCAGTCTTCTCAACAGATGGTGCTGGAACAAGCACATGCCCACATGCAAGAGAATGAAGCTGGACGCCCACCTCAGGCCATATTCAAAAATTAACTCAAAACGGCTCCCTGACTTCAATGCGAGAGACCTTGGGTCAGGCAATGTTTCTCAGATAGGACACCAACAGCACAAGTGACAAAAGAAAAACACAGATAAATGTGACTTCATCAAAATTAAAAGCTTTTGCGCTTCAAAAATGCCATCAAGAAACACTCACAGAATGAGAGAACATAATTTGCATATCATGTATCTGGTAAGGTGCTTGTATTCAGAATATGAAAAGAACACTCAACAATAAAAAGACAAATAACTTCCTTAAAAACGGGCAACAGATTTGAACAGACATTTCTCCAAAGATACATAAATTACCCGCAAGCACAGGGAAAGATGCTCTACACATCATTAGTCGTCAGGGAAATGCAAATGAAAACCACCATGAGCTACCACTTTCCCATCCACTGGAATGGCTATAATAAAAACAATAACAACAAAGGTTGGTGAGGACGTGGAGAAACTGGAACCCTCACACATTGTGGCAGAATGTAAAAAAGTGATTGCACTTTGTAGATAATGCACTTTTTACACATAGAAGGCTAGTGGCCACTCTTTGTCAAGCAAGCCTATTGGTGCCATTTTTCCAACAACGTTTGCTAACTGCATGACTCTGTGTCACATTGTGGTAATTCTCACAGTATTTCAAACTTTTTCATTATTAGTATATTATGTGATCTGTGATCTGTGATCTTTGATGTTACTGTGGTAATTGTTTTGGGGCACCACAAACTACACCCATATAAGACAGCAAACTTAATCCACTGACCAGCCATTTCCCTGTCTCCCCCTTCTTGGGCTTCCCTATTCCCTGAGACACAATATTGAAATTAGGCCAATTAATAACCATACAATGGCCTCTAAATGTTCAAGCAAAAGGAAGAGTCACACATCTCTCACTTTAACTCAAATGCTAAAATGATTAATCTTAGAGAGGAGGGCATATTGAAAACTGAGATAAGCCAAAAGCTAGACCACTTACACCAAACAGCCAAATTGTAAAGGCAAAGGAAAAATTCTTGAAGGAAATTAAAAGTGCTCCTCCACTGAACACACCAATGATAAGAAAGCACAGCAGCTTCACTGCTGATATGGAGAAAGTTTTAGTGGTTTAGACAAAAGATCAAACCAGCCACAACATTTCCTTGAAACCAAAACCTAGTCTAGAGCAAAGCCCTCCCTCTCTTCAATCTACAAAGGCTGGGAAGGCTCACAAGGTTGAAGGAAAGAAGCTGTCTCCATAACATAAATGTACAAGGTGAAGCAGCAAGTTACCCAGAAGACCTAGCTAAGGTAAATAAAGACAGTGGCTACACCAAACAACAGATTTTCAATGCAGACAAAATAGCCTTCTATTGGAAGAAGATGCCATCTAGGGCTTTCATAGCTAGAGAGGAGAAGTCAATGCCTAGCTTCGAAGCATAAAAGGACAGTCGGACTCCCTTGTTAGGGGACAGTGCAGCTGGTGACTAAGTTGAAGCCAATGTTCAGTGGCCATTCCAAAAATCCTTGGGCCCTTAAGAATTATGCTAAATCCACTCTGCCTCTGCTCTAGAAATGGAACAACAAAGCCTGGATGACAGCACATCTGTTTATAACACAGTTTACTGAATATTTTAAGCCACTATCGAGATCTACTGATTAGAAAAAAAAATTCCTTTCAAAATATGACTGCTCACTGACAATGCACCTGGTGACCCAAGATCTCTGATACAGATGAACAGTGAGATTGATGTTGCTTTCATGACTGCTACCACAACATCCATTCTGTAGCCCATGGATCAAGGAGTGATCTCAACTTTCAAGTCTTACTATTTAAGAAATACATTTTGTAAGGTTGTAGCTGCCACAGATTCCTCTGATGGATCTGGCAGAGTAAACTGAAAGCCTTCTGGAAAGAATTCACCATTCTAGATGCCATTAAGAACATTTTGTGATGCATAGGAAAGAGCTCAAAATATCAACATTATCAGCAGTTTGGAAGAAGATTCCACCCTTCATGGGTGACTTAGAGGGGTTCAAGACTTCAGTGGAGGAAGTCAATGCAGATGTGGTGGAAATTGCAAGAGAACTGGAATTAGAAGTGGAGCCTGAAGGAGGGACTGAGTTGTTGCAATCTCCAGATAAAACTTTAACAGATGAGCAATTGCTTCTTATGGCTAAGCAAAGAAAGTGGTTTCTTGAAATAGAATCTACTCCTGGTGAAGATGCTATGAAGATTGTTGAAATGACAACAAAAGACCTAAAATATGACATAAACTTAATTGATAAAACAGCAGCAGGGTTTGAGGGGACTGATGCCAATTTTCAAAGAAGTTCTACTGTGAGAGAAATTCCATCAAATAACATCGCATGCTATAGAGCAACCATTTGTGAAAGGAAGAGTCAATCAATGTGCAAAAACAAAGTATTTTTCAATTAAGGCATGTACATTTTTAGACACAATGCTATTGTACACTTAATAGACTACAGTATGGTGTAAACATCACTTTTCTATGCACTGGAAACCATTGGACTCACTTTATCGTGATACTCACTCTACTGTGGTGGTCTGGGACTGAGCTAGCAACATCTCTGACATGTGCCTGTATATCCCACATCTTCCCAGTGGTCTTTGTGCCACTAAATTATATACTTTAAAAGGGTGAATTATATCTCAAGAAAGCTATTATTTTTAAAAAAAAGAGTAAAGATGAACATTGTGACTTTGCGCCACAAGCAAAGTGACCCCACCCCATTGCAGCAGAGAAAAAGTGAGCTGAAAGTGTAAATTATGAGGGGCAAAAAAAAGCGAGCTAAGAAGCTAAATTATGAGTTAAATGTCATTTTCTGGGACCCATTCAGAGGACATCGAAGGACCAAGGCTTAGCATCACTTAGGATCACATCAGACTCCAAAGCTATCCCCTCTTCTGACCACTCACCTGGCTCTTCCATGTGAACAATGATCCAGTTGAAGGCCACTTCAGCTCCCATATTTCCAGTAAAGTACACAGCCTTCCGACATGCTTCTAGAGGGAAACCCATCTCAGCCAGCTGCATCACCGATGACTCATCAATGTCTGAGGCTACGGAGCACAACAGAATACTCTGGTGTAAAAACATGAACCCTCGTAAAACGTAAACTCTCTTTCTCCTCGTCCTAGCTTCTCCTCATCCACTAGCCACATGCTATCCAAAGAAAGTGCTATTTCTGGGGGGTGTATAAATGGTGGTTTAACTTTGTTTTGTTTGAATTCATCCAAATATTAAGCTATTTGAGCTTAAATATCTTTGACCTAAATTGGAACCACAGTAATGACCTGGACAATCCAAGCACTGAAAAACAATTCCTTAATTTTATATGGGGAGATGGAGTGTATTCCCAGAACCATTCCAGCCTCTCAGATCCTTCTCAAGACCTCTCCTACAGCGGCCTCTCCTATCACTGAAATCTGAAGAGAAAAGCATTATCCACAAGCGCAAAGCCTATTCCTTAAATCTCACAGGAAGTTATGCCAGGCCTTTAGGTATATCAGCAAAGGAAGTAATCAGCTCTGGGAAATGGAGAACCCAAATGTTAAGTACAGAAGGACAGAATATGTTCTGTAATGGTATACATTTAAGATATTAAAAGAGATAGCTTTATAAACCTAATGTGGGCCTAGACATAGAGGGTTTTGTTTTGTTTTCTTTTCTTTTCATAATGATATGTAGATATTGGTGGAGATGTATGTGTCTGTGTGTATGTGTATGTATACGTGGATGCATATAAGCACATGTATGTATGTATACATAATGTACAAAATATACATAAAAACCTATAGGCATGTGTATATACACGTATGTGTGTGTACATACATATACACGTTTTATAATACACACGTATATGTGTGTATATATACACACACCTGTTATGTTTTATGTATACACATTTGTACATGTATATACATACGTGTGCTTGTATGTATACACATACATGTATATATACCTGCATTGTGCTCTCAAATTATCCAACAACTGGAGGGGAACAGGAGCACAAAAGATATCCCTTTTTTTCCCACATCCTGAGGTCTCTAATCTACTGAAAATTCTGCCAAAGACGGCAATTAGTAGAACTGAATAGTAGCAGTAGAACTGAGGATTAGAGATATCTGTTCTATAAAAACTACATTGAAAATGTGTTTATCAGGGCGCCTGGGTGGCTTAGTCAGTTAAGCATCTGACTCCTGATTTCAGCTCAGGTCATGATCTCAGGGTCATGAGATCAAGCCCCGCCCTGGGCTCCATGCTGGGCATGGAGCCTGCTTAAGATTCTCTCTCTCCCTCTCCCTCTGCCCCTCCCCTCACCAACACCACCCCCACCCCCAGCCAGCACTCTCTCTTTCTAAAAAGAAAAAGAAAATGTGTTCATCAAACTTCTCTCTTACAAGGAAGATACAGAGAACATCCTTTCAAGACCAAATTTTAAGAAAGCAATGATTTAGGACAGCAGTGATTCCCAAGTTGTGTTCTATGATAGCCTGATGTTCTAAGAGAAATGTCATTATTGAACCACAAAACAAGGGGTTTCCATGGCCAAAGAAGCTTTAAAATCCACATTCTCTATTCTCCCCTTAGAAATTCACAATGTGCATTAGCATAGTGAAGACTCAAAAATCCTGTCACAAAGACTCCTACAGTTAAGGAAGCTAGGAAACTCTTTCTACAGAACACCTTTCAACATCTTGTAAGACTCTCATGTTCCCTACAATGCAATTTAAGAAGTGCAGGTCAATAAATGGTTATGTGTGTCTCTAATAACATATTAGATTAAAAACATATAATTCCATTTTTGAGAAAAATAAAGTGAGCCAGGCACAGGCAAAGGCCAGTGGAAAAACATACACCAAGTGTTAACAATGGTTATAGATGACTGATGAAACCATGAATGACTCTTACTGCTAACCCATAGTTTGTAAGCATCTTTTTACTCTCATAATAAGAAAATAATTAAAGTTGTTCTTTAAAAATCTGAGAAAGGTAGGATGCAAATGTTAAACAATCTCAGATAATTCTATTTTCTCCTGTTGAGTACAGGTAGTTGCTGATAAGACAGCAGGCTTAGATCTGGGAGGAAATCAATGGCCAAACCATGAACCCTGGAAACCTGGGTTTCCTGCTCCTGTGTCAGTGCTCCTGGTCAGAGACAGACTCCTCCAGCACAGTCAGTGCTAACCACCCATCACCTCCCCCAGAGCAATCTGCAGGCCAGCTCTCTGCAGAATCAGGAGCAGCAAGCAAACCTCTCACATTCCAGAAAAGGTCAAGCGGCATAAAAAGCACACTTGACTCCCAGCCCAGGTTCTGGTCCCAGCTCTTGGGTCTCTGAAGTTTCCTGAGTCTCAGTTTCATACTCTGTAAAAGGTTACCTACCCTGCCCTTCTTACTGTGATAATCAAATGAGAATCTGGATTTTATATGAACAGTAAAGTTATATACTATTGAAAGAATTTATGAAATAATAAACGCAGTATGACTCATGGTAACCATTCCAAAGTAGTAACAACCACTGTTATTATTATAATTAGATTATTCACAGAGGCAATGATTTTCCCAAGACCCTCGCTGACCCTAAAAGCTTCTAGCAATGAACAAATCATAATCGACCAAGGAAAGGAAATGTGGAGGTCTAAGCCACATGATCAATCATTTGCAATGTAAAACACATGCACTTCTTTTTTTAATTTTATTTTATTATGTTATGTTAATCACCACACATTACATCATTAGTTTTTGATGTAGTGTTCCATGATTCATTGTTTGCATATAACACCCAGTGCTCCATTCAGTACGTGCCCTCTTTAATACCCAACACATGAACTTCTAAATTAACAATAGTTTGTCTCTGGAAGGGCTTTGTAGACAAAAAGATTCAGAGTATTTAGTGTTAAACACTCCCCCTTCCTCCTAATTAATACCTAAATACTCACCATAAATAGTTTATTGTGTTCTTTTCAGAAAACCAAGAGTACCAACTCCTACAGGATTAAGGAACTAAAAGTCTATAGAATTAACATACAATCCAATGACACTACGAACCTTGAGAGTATTAATCAATGCTACCATGTCCTGTCAGTCATGAGCCATCACTACATGTCCAGCAGCAGGAATGGAAAAAAGGCCTGGCCACTGTGCCATCACTGCATAAAGAGCCCTACTCGTGGCCAGAGTGGGAGGAAATGGCATCACGAGCCCACCTTCACACATGCGGAGACTAAGGCTCAGAGAAGTTAAGTAAATTTTTCTAGCTTGCAGTCATAAACGGCAGGGCCAAGTTTCCAGTCTGGGGCTGGTTGGCTTTCATGCTGATGATCACTCTCCTGAGCCACAGAGCCGCTTAATCATCATGTCACTGGTTTACATTTGCTGCTAACTCAGCTTGCAGACAAAGAATCACTCCCACCCAGGAAAAGCTGCACATGTAGAGAACAATGCCCCTTTACTGAGTTCCCACAGATAAATGTCAGACCAATGACAATTGCAGGACACTGAGAAAAATTTCGAAAGATACATACGGTCTATGAGTTGGTTCATCAGGCGATCTGGAAATTAACGGAGAGGCAGAGAATGAGACCAAAGCATGGCAAAGAGTTTTAGAGAAAGAAAAAGAGTCCATGCAGGGCAATCCCTAATCCCTCACCCCTAGGGATCCCACACTGTTGTCAACCCCTCAGCAACCCCACCCCACACACCGCCCAGCCTGTACAACATGAAATCATTACAGTAGGGAGCGAAAATAAACAGGTCTCAGGGATTTCAACCAGATAAGACATGATGCTCTGTCATGTCTTAATCAACTTAATGAACTAAATAATTTATCTCCCTGTATTTCTAAGGACTCTGTATAATTACAAACCAAGGATTCTGTTAAGAACATCAGAGAAAGCAGGAGCAGTGCGAATAAACCATCCTGTACTCCTCCGATGCTCCTACTGATCCCTGTTCTCTGGACCCTTTAATGGACCACTCGTACTACATAACCCAGAGTGTCCCACGTACAGGTCCCTTCTCTACTCTCCATACTCTACAATTTAACATCTGACTTAACGTCCGAGAATAATGGAACACAGGTGCCTATCGTGAATCCTCCTGGATTCACCTTACCCTTCTCTTGCACCTGAACATGGTCACCAATAATATTGAATGCTCAACTGATGAGAAACCTTTTGAAGAGAGGCCCAGTGTGCTCTATCACTATTAATTGACCTAATTAACTGATTAAAAAGGTGAACAGTAAGTAAACAGGTGAGCAAATGAAACCAGAATGAAATGATTGCATCAGTAACTGAGCTAAAAATGAAACCGAGATTTTTTGACACTGTCCTTGGATCCACAAAAGTGAAACAATTATTTTCTGCATGTCCTTTTCCCTTAAAAAGTTAAGTATTCTGAACAAAAATTAAGCCTTCACAGGGCAAACTACAGCCTTGCTATGAAGCAGTGACAAAGCTGGGGAGGTGAAATGTGGTCAAGATTTTTAAAACTAACACACACTATTGAATTTCCCCTTCGGGTTGTCCAGAGGCACTCCCAAGATGACACAGCTCCTCAAGATTGAGAGCCTACTGAAAACACACTCCTTCTTTTCCCTACAGGCCCATTTATTTGCAGGAAGGAGAGGGAGGGAGGGAGGGAGGGGAAGCCAGATGCAACCTAACCTAAAAACTTCTTTGGAGATTTGCTGCCCCCTATTGCCAGTGATTTCTGCAGGTCCGTTTCAACTACCCATGACGGGTCTGTGCCTCTTCCCATGTCTACCTTAAGTTTACAGTTGCGGCCAGGCCTCACTACTGTGCATCTACAGTGGGTTACAACACAGGAACATGGCCAAGGGACGACAGACTGGTGGAAGAGAAGAGACTCTTCCATTGGGGGTGGGGTGGGGAGAGGGGTAAGAGAACATCCTCCTGGCAGACGGTGGTACCTTTTGAGTCATCAGGAATGACTATAGGGGGGCTGATGTCCGGAAGCTCCTCCTCTCCTGGCTGTAACCCCCTGGCTCGGAGATGGTTGATATCAAGTAGGTCTGGCATATCAATAGAAACATCTACAAAGTGAGAGAGATTACATTCACCAGACTCTCCAAAAACCCACAATCGCCCCCTAAAACCAGCACCTCTAACTCTTATGTGCATGTGTCTAGGCAGAGCTAAGCGATGCTTTTCAGTCCCCTGGAGTAGATCCCTGGACCAGTAGACTCACTAAGCCTAGCCAGATTTAATGGAGAAGCAGGGGGAAAGTATAGAGCATTTCACACTGAACAAGCCAGAGGTAAGCCAGAGGTTGCAAACTGAGAGCCCAAAGACCAACTGTAGCAAACAGAATGTCTGATGTTTCTAAAATGTTGGCAACAGGGGCGCCTGGGTGGCTCAGATGGTTAAGCGTCTGCCTTCGGCTCAGGTCATGATCCCAGGGTCCTGGGATCGAGCCCCGCATCGGGCTCCCTGCTCCACAGGAAGCCTGCTTCTCCCTCTTCCACTCCCCCTGCTTGTGTTCCCTCTCTGGCTGTGTCTCTCTGTCAAATAAATAAAATCTTTAAAAAAAAAAAAATGTTGGCAACAAATTCCAATTTTTAAATCAGAAGATTTCATTTAAAAACCTGTATTTCCAGGGCGCCTGGGTGGCTCAGTTGGTTAAGCGACTGCCTTCGGCTCAGGTCATGATCCTGGAGTCCCGGGATCGAGTCCCGCATCGGGCTCCCTGCTCGGCAGGGAGTCTGCTTCTCCCTCTGACCCTCCTCCCTCTCATGCTCTCTGTCTCTCATTCTCTCTCTCTCTCAAATAAATAAATAAAATCTTTAAAAATAAAAAAATAATAATAAATAAAAATAAAAACCTGTATTTCCAGCTTATTTTGAAAAACAAATATTCTCATATGGTAACAACTGCCCTGGGGCTGATCTTCAGCTTCCACTCTAGACAGTACGTGCCCTACAAGAGTGTAGGGCACAGACCCCACTGCTCCCAATTGCCCCCATGACCCTGAGCATCATATTGTGATTCTGATTCTTATGGTAAAGAAATGTTTTTCTAAGCCACGTCTTTATCCAAAGTGGAAATATCCAAGAAAGACCAAGATAGGTAGGCTACACATTTCTTATATCCAATGTACTCCTGTCATTTACATTGTTCATATGAGGCAGTTGAATTTGCAGCCCCTAGATTACGCCTTTTCTGAGATCATGATGGGCACTGTGGTCATTCTCACCAAGTTAATAAAGAATGAAGTTTTAAAGAAATAAATTCATTCTCAAGTGTATTACTCTTAGGAAAATTTTTTTAACTTCTCAGGTCAGTTGTTATTGGGCCGACTTAATCAAATACAAAATTTATCGGTCTAAGAGCCTATTGAGATTTAGTGTTATATTCAGATACAATAATAATGAAAAATGGGTCCAAATGTTGGTGTGGGATAGGTCTCCCGGGCTAGCAAACAGAACTTGAAAATACTATCCCCAAAACCAGTTATGATGCCCGGTACACAAATCCTATTTTAAAACGACAACCCAAAGAAAAAGCTTAGTTAAAAAAAATCTTTTTTTAATCTCAGGGGACAGCAAAAACAAACATACTGCCTGATCCACAAAATCAACACAACTGTTCTCCACAGAGAAATTCAGGTTCATTAAAGCGAGCTTTGAGGCTCCTTTAAATTCAGCAAGTCTATGAAATCTGATCTGAATTTTTTATCCTTTACGGAAATTCCAAGGGCAGAGAAAAATAAGAACGCTGTTTCCAAAGCAGGTGAAAGCCTTTAGAAGAAAGCAGTTTCCTCTCTCAGGTACTGCTCAGGTCCACAGAGAAAAGGCTGAGTGATGAGCATCCTGCCCACAAAATCATTCCACCAGGAAAATCGAAGATCTGCCGCAGAATCAGTCACAGCCCTCCATCCTGTCACGTGGCAAACAAGTGCCGTGTCAACTGAGTGCTGGAGGTTCCCAGGGAAACCAGCCAATTTTACATTCTTTTTACCTGACCTCTCCAGATGAGCCGGTGAATGCTTAATTAACCAGTGTAAGGCCTGAGTTGTTTTTTAAGTGCTCAGAAACATAAAACCTTTAAAAGCCTGGCAAACAGTCTGAGGTACTTGCTTGAGAAATGTGTCCTTCCGTGGCACGGAGGACAGCCTAGTAACACCTTGACGTTGGATCCTGATGATGGAGAAAAGGTTCTTAAACATTGCCCCGAAAACTCTAATCTCCAACAATGGTCAAGGGCCTTGAAAATTAGCAAGAAAAAAGCCCAATGAAACCCAAGTCAAATCTCTTTTTTGACGATTTAAAGCAACTGACTATACTCATTTTATTATTAATAAAATTTGCATGATGTAAGAGACTGTCATTAGCCACACCTGCCTGCTTCGGAGGCCGAGGAGAGCTAATAAGGGGAGCATGTATCTTCAATCACCTGCACCTCCAAGTGCAGGTTTTGGACCAGCAGCATCAGTATCACTGGGGAGCTTGTGGGAAGTAAAGAATCCCAGCCCTCCCACCCCCAGACCTGCTGAATTAGCACCTGCATTCTGCCAAGATCCCAGGTAATCTGTATGCATGTTAAGTTTGGAAAGCATTGTTGATTTGACAATGTGGGGATCCGATTTTCACTCTTAGAGTCCAGTCATTCCAACATGCATTATCAGAGGGGTGGGTAACATGGGGTGATTTTCATTGTCAGTGCGTATCAAATACTCTTGACTCAAAAGAGAAAGGTGGGGATGATGGAAAAAGAATGAAATGGAACGATTTCTGACAGCCAACCACACGGGCCCCTTCACGCGCCATTTTGTTCCAATGGCTAATTTGACGTGTTAAGCGAAAGCATGCAAAAGATACCTACCAAATTTTTTGGGAACCCAGTCAAGACCAAAAGTGAACTTCTTTATCTGCACTACCAAGTATTCAGGGAATGAGGCAAAGCGAGATGTTCTGGGAAACACAAGGGGATTAGATCAATGAAACAAGGCAATAAGAATCGTGAATACAGTTCATGAAGCATCACAAGCGTTGTCCAAGGCATACCTGGCAGTTCCAGCAACTGCACTGAGGAGGAGGGACACACAAACACACACAGGCCGACACACACACCTGCTCCCAGTCACTCGTCCTGGCCTTTTCACAAGGACGAAGTGTTTACCGGAGGACAATGGTGTCCCTTGGGAAGGATCTGGAGCATGTTGCAAAATTATACTTTTATTTGCTGTGGCACTTTGTGTTTCTGAAAAGTATTCTTCAACCATAGATATTTGTTTTTTCTAAAACCGTTGCTAGAGTTTAGTAGAGTAGACCCTTGAATAATGCGGAGGTTAGGGGTGCTGACCCCCCATGCAGTCAAAAATCCACATATAACTTTTGACTCCCCAAGAACTTAACTACTTATAGTCTAGTGCTGACCAGAAGCCTTACCAATAATATAAAGAGCCAATTAACACACATTTTTTAGGTTATATGTATTATATACTGTATTCTTACAATAAAATAAGCTAGAGAAAATATAGCATTGTACTGTAAAAAGCCCACTGGACTCACACAGTTCAAACCTGTGTTGTTTCAAGGGTCAATTGTGTGTGTGTGTGTGTGTGTGTATACATACACATTACATTTGCAGGAGTGTGCAGGCATGCGTGTGGTCTGTGTTTATATGTGTGGTTTGAAAAGCTCCCCAAGCGATCCTGACATACCCCTAACCTCCCTCCCACAGAGAATCACTATCTTACCGCACAAAGTTGGCATGAAGAGGGTTCATTGGAACTTTGGTTGAGGTTGACTATTAGAAATGCCAAAGCATCATTAAAATATTATTTTACCTAAAACCCATGGATCCTAAAGGGGTATGTATGTATGTGTGTGTATATATACACACATACATATACATATATATTTAAAAATTTAAGGTTCAGATTTAGATATTTTAGTTAAGTATCTAAAATATCTAAATCTGGGAGTGCCTGTGTGGCTCAGTCGTTAAGCGTCTGCCTTCGGCTCAGGTCATGATCCCCGGGTCCTGGGATCAAGCCCCGCATCAGGCTCCCTGCTCAGGAGGAAGCCTGCTTCTCCCTCACCCATTCCCCCTGCTTGTGTTCCCTCTCTCGCTGTGTCTCTCTCTGTCAAATAAATAAATAAAATCTTAAAATAAAAATAAAAATAAAATATCTAAATCTGAACCTTAAATTTTTAAATTAACACATATGGTCAATATCTCGAGTTTTCCTTCAAACTTTCAGGAATTGCCTGGACTTTGGTTTGACAATTTTATGCAGACTATTCACCCAGTACACCAAATTCATGCCCTGGTTCCAGCTCATTCTCTCAACATGTATCCTGTTGTTTATAACAACCATTTCTATGTCAGTGTCAATGTGGATAGAGTAGGTATATGTAAAAAAGAAAATAAGCTGTAGGCAAATACTGTATGTACCTTTTAAAATAAAAGATTCTAGAATACCTTCCCCACGATCTCTAAGTCATTGCCTTCTACTTGGAATGCATCTGCCCAGAATTCAGGAAGCAAATACAAGTGCATTGCTGCCCCCTAGTGTAGAAGAGAAACCATAGTACAGGGACAGAGCACTATCCAAAAAAAGGGTCAAAAGATGTGGATTTGTGTCTAAGATATGCTACATAATTCACTCCAAATGTGAACAAATCACTGACCCTCCCTGAGGCTCCACTTTCACATCTACAAAACAGATTTATTAATAATATCTACCTGCCAGGGCTACGCAATGTTCATAAAATGATGTGAAACCACTTGGCACACTAGAATATATATTATAACTAGGGAATTAGCATGATTATTTTGTCATAAAAGAGCTAGAATCCACCAGGTGTTGGACATTGACTTGGACTGCCCTGCCCTTTTGCCTGTCCAAAAGCCCCAGGCAAGTCACTTAACCTCTCTGGATCTCAAATTCTCCCTCACAAGGACAATAGAAGGGTATAAGCAATAATGTAAGGGAGTTCTTTCAAAAAAAGGAGCTTAAACATCCTAAGGAACTTATCTATTGTTATCCTGGTTCATTCTTCAGAAATTATCATATTATCTCTAATTAGGTTTTCCTATCTTCTGAGAAGCAGCAATAAACATCATTCTTATTTAAATATAGCCAAGTCCTAATTTCACCAAAACCCAACAAACTCCATCCAGTATTTTCAACTAATGTAAAAATGTCACCTTTTTAATTGATCTCTTCCTCTTACCACATCAACTTAAAAGCTGGAAAATATGTAACAGTGAGATCAGCCAAAAGTCATCAGTAAATCAGTGATCTCCAAAATGTGGTTCAGAAGCCCCAAGACTCTTGCAGTTGCTGTGGTCAGTAGCTGGGTGAGTAAATCAGCTGGTGATACCACGGGGCAAGGGGCAGAGCAGGGAACTGGAAGCAGGGTTTAACACACCCTTTTGTTGTGGGTAACTGCCAACCTGAGAGTACCAGAAATCAGATTAGATGACACCCACATTTATATTTGCCCTGTTGGATAAATGCGCTTTATTCATTTCTGTAGCCTCTACAGGGCCTCAAATTGAATCACACAGGTGGTAAGCACTCAATATATATTTGCTCAAAATAATGTCAAAATTAATAATTTGCATTAATTAATTGCAGATTTGGGACATCAAGTCTGTTACTGAAATCCAGCAAAGTTGGAAATGATGCACTGCTTACTCTTTTATTCCTAAAATTCATTCCTGGAAATTAAAATTTTTCTTGAAAAGTTATGTATTTAATAAAGACCAATAGAATGTAAATCATTCAAAAAGATCTAGGTAGACACACAGCAAATTTACCTCCAAAAACTGCTATGAGAACTAAATGAGTCAGGACACAAAGTGCTTAGAACAGTGCCTGACAACACTATTGTGTTGTCTATTGACAACCTGTTATCATTATCATGTCAATTGTTCACTAATTACAACGGAGGCAAAAACACTACAAAAGCCTTAATAAGAAAAAAATACAAGCTGTCCCTCTCCGTGAAATTAAGATTGTCTATTGTATTGAAAACCTGGCAACTAAAAAAATATAGTTCTATCCTTTCCATTAAATATGTTGAAAATATGATAATTAATCAACCACAGTCAAACTGTATAACCCAAGGCCAAAAAAAGGAAAGGAAAGATAGAAACAATGGTTATAACAGTTACAGCATACACTTATTCTGCACAAGGCAGTATACAAAGCACTTTGCAGAGTTAATCTCACTCTTCACCCCAACCCTATGAAGAAAGTGCTATTATCATCAAGGCTTACAGAGAAGGAAACAGCGGCTTAGGGTCACTTGGCCAAGGTCAGGTAACAGTAAGTTCTACACTGGGGATTCAAACACTGCTCATCCACCTAAAGCTTGTGCTCTGGAACCCCACACTGTGCTCTCCTCTTCATAAACGATAAAAGTCAAGACAAAATCTCTCCCTATTGATCCTTAACCCATGAGCTGCTTGACGGCAGGAGCTAGGTCTTGTTCAACTCATTGCCTAGAATATTCCAGGTGAGCAATAATACTTGCTAATGAATGAAATTTCCAAACACTAATATTCTTCCCAGAAACTGTCCATTCAGGACTATTTAAGGCAAGAGTCTTTATGTCTGGTCCATACTAACCAAAGATCTACAAAACGAACATCTTTTGCCTCTTCCTGGCCTTTCAGGCTCTGGGTCTAACACAAGAAAAATTCAAGGCCCCAAACTAATATAGTAAGGAGATCATGTCTATATTGCTAGAAATAAGAAAAAGAAAAAAAAAATCTTTTAGGAATCCACTGAACTGCTTTCCTCAAAACTAATATTTGAAACATGGTAAGACCTAATAAGGAATATGCAAGGCTACATAAGAATTACAAGGATATGAGTATAAGCAAGCATGATCAGGAATATGGGGTACTATATAAGAGAGGGATTAAGAGCTTAAACTTGGGGGGTGCCTGGGTGGCTCAGTCGTTAAGCGTCTGCCTTCGGCTCAGGTCATGATCCCAGAGTCCTGGGATCGAGCCCCGCATCTGGCTCCTGGCTCAGCGGGAAGCCTGCTTCTCCCTCTCCCACTCCCCCTGCTTGTGTTCCCTCTCTCGCTGTGTCTCTCTCTATCAAATAAATAAAGTCTTTAAAAAAAAAGAGTTTAAACTTGGAACTCAATCAATTTGAATGAATTCCAGGCCTGCCACTTATTGGCCAATTACTTCTCTTTTTATTTCCTCATCCATAAAATGGGGAGAATAATAGCACCTACCCCATAGTAATACCAAGAGGATTAAATGATAATTGACAGTAAGTGCTTAACACATGACCTGGAATGATAAATGGACAAAAAATGTAGTTGCTTTACTAACCTAGAACATGTTTCCTCCTTTTCCACAAAGACCAGTTTTCAATTATTAACAACCGGATACATCCAGTATGAATTTTTTTCATATACATAAAACCCATGAGAACATGTATACATAAAAGACAGAGGAAAAGGAAAATACATTTAATATCTACTGTTAAGGATTAGAGAAAGCAGAAACCCCTCCCCTAGACAGTTACATTAGCACTGCCTACAATTAAATATTTCGTAGCATTGGAGGAGAAAACCAGGTAAGCAAGCATCATTCCTCCATTACAGATGGAAGAAGGACATTGGGTGGTGACTTTGCCCTAGGATAGAACATAAGCTGGGAAGTGGACACAGGAGATGAATCCAGATCTCCTGACCACCTGCCCTGGGGTGAGAGCCTCTGTCTCTAGAAAGCTAATGCCTCCCAACTCCATTTTAACGATGGGCCTTTTCCAAGTGATGAGAAGGCTCCTTCCTGCAGGCCCAGAGAGTATGTCAGAACTTACACTTCTAAGACACGAGGCTACTTTTCTGAAGAGCAGAAAAAGGTGGCTAAGCAAACAGGGAAATGAAGAACACTACAGCTTACACCTGATGCTGGGGACTTTCTAGTTGGCCAAGTCCCCTGATCATTTCTATGTCCCACACAGAATCAGAATTAAAGCGCAAAGAGAAAAGGATCCATGTTTGAGAAACCTCCCACCTATTGTCAATAATTAAAGTAAAAAAAAAAAAAATCATCATATTGTACACCTTAAACTTACACAATATTATTTTATCTCAATATGTATCAACATATGTCAATATCTCAATACTGTCGATGATATCTCAATAAATCTGGGGGGAAAACAATGAAAGAAATTGGGTCTGCTGCTAGGATACTGTGTAGATGTCTAACTGCCCAATGATGGCTCCAGGTTGCAGTGCAGTGAATCTCACACTGAACACGCCAACTCACCGACGTTTCTCCGCAAGGACACACACACACACACACACTCACACAGATCCCATAACTGAGCAATCCGAGGATGAAAACTTACTCCACAATGGATAACTGATAACTGAATGGACTAATAATCTCGTTTGGATATGAGCAACACTTTTAAAAATTATTTTAAGAAAATATGGCCTTTTTTAAACTTCTGAAATAAATTCTTTGTGTTTTCCCATTTTTAACATATGAAGTCATTCACCTGAAACAAAGGGGAATCTTGAGCGATGTCTATTGCAGAGAACAAGTGATTTAAGTCAGACTGCTACCTGAGGTGATAAAAAACACCTAGCAGTAGCTCTTCAGCCTTCACACCCCTTTGCATGAACTAGAGCTCAACTTTCGCTAGGAGGACAGACGGCCAAAGAATACCTAAAAGGAGTAAAATTCCCAGAGCCAAACTTTCAGACCTCCCTTCATTTTATGCCTCTATGAGTACTCTTTTCCCAATTGTATGCTGTGCGTTGGCAAGGACTTGACTGTATAAAATCAATTAATCAAGTGGAGAAAAAATGTTTTATGTACCTGACAATGAGGTGTACCATGTGGAAACAGAGCATCTTCTACGTCCTGAGCAGCTCATCCGAACGATGCCCACTATGTCCTCTTCGAGATGCCCTGAGAGCCCTGGTCACCACGTGCTAAGCCAAATCTTTAATTATGGAATTAAAATCTATCATAGTGGAGCTTAAATATTGAAGACTGTCATAAGTATTTCTGTAATCTCTTAATATCATTCTTGCCATGCGGTGGTGGGGGTGGGGGGTTTTGGGGGGTTCTTGGCAAAAAAAAAAAAAAAAACTCCTAATAAAGGATAAACCACAACGTTCCTTTAAAAAAAAGAAAAGAGAAGACATTCCCTCCCTAACACACAACACAGACTATAAGCCTGGTTTCTTGGACAGGCCTCACACAAGTGGCTCTATGACCATTAGGGTTGCACGGATCATAACCCCATCTCACTACACATGAACAAGCATGCGCAGACTCATACAACACCCCGCCACCTCTCCCCTACCCAGTCCGTACCCCTCAGGGGCCCCTCCTCACACCACTACCACCACACAAGCACAAACACACAAGTGCACTTACTTCACACCCGCAGACTTTGCTTGTAGGGCGCTGCTCCAGAAATCATCTACGTTTTCCGGTTCAGAAAAAGCCTGAAGGCAGGCACTAAATGGTATCTTGGCGCGAACCAACTCGGGAAGGGGTCTTCTGTTTGCTTCTGCCTCCCTCCTCGTTAACTCATAGGCAATCAGTTCATCTGAGTAAAAGAGCAAACGAATGATCTTGTACTCACTCCATCTTCTTGAAGCGGAAAACATCCCCTTGGGCCAATCTTCCTGAAAGTGTCTGGGCCGGGGCAGTATTGCTCACTTGTTGCCCTTCACGGATCCAGAAAAGCCTGCTGAAAGGCTATTGTCGAGCAGACTTTAGGGTGGCGCCGACAGGCTGCATGAGCCATTCATAATTTTTTGCCTATTCGCCTTTGAGACTGACAGGAGGGATCTGTGAACTCCAGCCCAGATCGGAGGTCCTGATCTCACATGTGCTGGAAGTGAGGCGGGAACCTGGTCTTCCCTTTGTCCAGAGTCAAGGCTGGGATTACCCAAATGCCACCTTCCAATCACGAAGTCTTCACACCACAGAATTTCACACCGAAGGAGACCCAAGTGTCATCTCTCCATTCTGATTAGAGGTCATGGAGGGTGCGGACCAAGGAGCGAGATGGACTATAGCGACCGCAGTCCTCCACTGCACTCAGCCCATGATTCTAACCAACACTGCCCAGAAAACTTCAGGTTGAGGTTACGCACAAGGTCAGACAGCAGAGCTACCAACCTAGAAGGCTTTCTACACAATTCCTGCTCAAACGATTCAATACCAAGGGAAAAAGCAGACAGCACACCACCAACTTCCCAGGAGTCAGCAGATCTGCTCTTGGAAACTGTCTATAAGTCAAAATTTTATATAGTTTTGATGAGGTCTTTCTGGGAATTCCTTTTGTTTACCAAAAAAACCACTCCTGATTTATCAGTTTTTAGACACCCCTATGCACCCATGTGTTTTCTTAAGCACATCTGAATATGGGTTTAAAATTCATTGTCCAGTCCACAATCAGTTTATGATGTACCTATATCTAGGATGCCAGTATTAGGTGTCCCAGCAATCAATTTCCAGGGACTAAATTATAAATCTTTCTGAAAAAGAATAGTTACCACTCATAAATTATAAACAGTGAGTTAGAGAGGATCACAGAACTGAGTGGAACATCCCCGAGGCTGGCAAGAGAAAACAATTAAGCCTAATTCTAAAAAGGAAACAAACCACAGACCGCTACCCTCATTTCTACTTTATACAATGGGTAAGAATTTAGAAACTGGCCAAAAGCTGCACAAGCTTATAGAAAAAGGAAATCGTTTCATCTTAAAATCATCATAATCATCGCTTTTCAATTAGCACAACAAATTGACCCCCTCAAAAAAAGAGGGGAAAAGGCCACAAAAGCGAGTTACTGACATTTACGGAAATGACCAGTTCACGGGACATAAGCAATATAGCAGACATTTTGCCTTTTTTTGCTTCTAAATGTTAATTCTAAGAAATACCATTCATCTATTCTGCCCGGGAAGAACCACACAGACTGACTGAAGGAAGCTTCCCCTGAGACCCCAGCAGTTCCTCCACCTCCTTCCTGCTTCTAAAGTCCAAAGACCCTTCTAATGGGCCTCGCTCCTACAAGAGCCCTTCCCTGCTGCACCTCCCACAGGGGGCGTCTTTGATACTCAGATGCCAAAGTCAGATTATTTCAAGAGATTGCTGCTAGGGCGCCTGGGTGGCTCAGCTGTTGAGCAACTGCCTTTGGCTCGGGTCATGGTCCCAGGGTCCTGGGATCGAGTCCCATATTGGGCTCTCTGCTCCGCGGGAGGCCTGCTTCTCCCTCTCCCACTCCCCCTGCTTGTGTTCCCTCTCTCACTGTGTCTCTCTCTGTCAAATAAATAAATAAAATCTTAAAAAAAAAAAAAAAAGAGATCGCTGCTAGAACGTCTCACCCCAAAAAATGCTGATCATTTTCCCCAGAATTTATGGCACAACTCATGAGTGCTAACGTTAAAGAATCTTCCACATCTATAATTACAATGTTCCCCCAAAGTAAGCTGACTTCAAGCCAACCAATTGGCCAAATTTATGGGCACTAAAATAAGTTCTACCCAAAATCCCTCCAACAAAAACCCGCGATGCATCGGACTCTTCTCACAAGAAAGGCACATGGGACTGGGGAAAAGAGGAAAAGAGACATGCGAACCAGACACTGTCTGGGCTGAGTCTCCTCCTGACGTGACTCAGCAGTGACTAAACCGCGTTATCTCCGATCCGAGGGTTTGTTTGCATGTATGAGGAAGCACATCGCCAAGTTCCCACTTTGGGACCGTTACCCTTGTTGGTTGCTGCCTCCATGGCCACAGGCAACTGCATCAGGTAATCCACCCTCTCCGTGTAGCGGACTTTGCGCGTCTGACAGCACTGAATACGTTCTTCCACCAAAAACCGAAAAACATCACTTGGGTTTTCTGAGCCAATGCGGTTCCTCTGAAGGTTAGATTAGATCAGGTTAGTAAACGTATGAATATTAAGCCGTGAATAAAAATTGGCACAAAAGAGAATACATAAATCTGGCATAAGGATCTGGTGCTACGAAGCATTCCCTTTGGGCACGGCAGTTCACCAGAGTACTTTAATAACAAAACGCAGGCGTATATCCAAAAACGGGGGACAGGTTAAATAAACTACAGTTCATCATGTGAATGAACATCATGCAGCCGCTAACAGTTGTGAAAGAGGAACTGACCTAGTGGGAATCAGAAGAAAGGGGGTGAGGGAGCCAGACTAAAGAGAAGGGGGGAGAGTAAAGGGCTGCCCTGCAAAAATTAAGGCACATATGATGGGGTCGTGGAAATGCATTGGTGTAAATTATACATAAAAAAGAAATCACGCTACATTCAAATATGTAATGATGTGGCAAAACGTTCAGAACACGTTAAGTGGAAAGCAATGCTTATAAAACAGCATGGAGAGAATCAATAAATGCACCGGGAAAGTGTCTGGTGGGTCAGACACCGAAATGGTAGCACTCCTTATTTGTAGTGGCTGTTGCCACTGGCTATTTTGATTTTCTCCTTTGTGCCTTTTTATATCTTCCACAGAGAACATTTTTGTAATCAGAAAAAAAGAAGTTGTTTTTTAAGAGGGAGAAGAAAGCCTTTAATCACGAATTCTCGGGAGCTTTTAAAAACCACAGCACAGAATGTGATTCAACTCTGCTGGGAGCAAAGTGTGACCATCTCTGAGTGGTGGCACAAGGACACCAAATACCACACTGGACTCTTAAGGAGGTTTGTCATGGAGACCAAAAAGAACTTTGAATGAAATAATGGACAACATTCCTTTAATTACAAATTAAAAGGAGAACAGGGAGATCCAGAAGTGCTAGAAAACAGGGCATGAGCAGCGATCACGCCACACGGGCTGAGCAGAGAAAGCCTCACGCCGATGCAGCACCAGCTGGGACTGTGACAGATTCCGGAAAGGGGCAGGGGGTGGGCATCCCGGCCCAGCCAGAGGGGACTGCCAGAGGGGACCATCCCCGGGCACTGTGCACCCTTCTTACCACCTTTCGAGCATTTCCGAAGACTGACTCACTCACCTCTACTAGATTCACCAGGTGCAAGAAAAACTCCTGGGCATCCTGCTGTCTATTAGAGGAGAATTCTGGGTGGCTCTTGCTGACAAAGGCCTTAAACATGCGTGGAGAGATCCCATTCTGTTGAGGCTGAAATATAAAAATAAAACAAAAAATTTTTTTTAAAGATTCATTTATTTATTTGACAGAGAGAGAGACAGCGAGAGAGGGAACACAAGCAGGGGGAGTGGGAGAGGGAGAAGCAGGCTTCCCGCTGAGCAAGAAGCCCGATGCGGGGCTCGATCCCAGGACCTGGGATCATGACCTGAGCCGAAGGCAGACGTTCAACCGACTGAGCCACCCAGGCGCCCCCAAAATAAAACAAATTTACCACACTTTCCTACACATTCATGGCACTAAGCGGCCAGCAGAGTAGGGATTACCATAAGCCCCAATTTTCAGATGAGACAACTGAAGCCCACAGAAGCTAAACAATGAGAAGAGCCAGCATTCACTGGATGTTTCCTGTGGAGCGGGCATCACACTAACGAGACATGATAAACACCCTCACTTTCTAAGAAAAGGCATTATGAGGTCCATCTTCACAGGGTTTGCTGTGAGAGCCCACTTCAGAGCAGGCTAGAGAGGCGGCATGAGTGGGTCCTCAGAAGGAAGTTAACGGAGAGGAGCGCTCTCCACACCTCCCTTCCTTCCCCATGAGAGAGCAGGAGAGAAGCTCTAGTAGAGACGGGGATGCAGACATACCTCGTTTGATTGTGTTTCGCTTTATTGTGATTTGACCATATGGTATTTTTTACAAATTGAAGGTTTGTGACAGCCCTGCATCAAGCAAGTCTATCGGTGCCATTTTTCCAATATCATTTGCTCATTTTGTGTCTGTGTGTCAAATTTTGGTCATTCTCAAAATATTTCGAACTTCTTCATTATTATTGTATTTGTTAGGGTGATCTGTGGTCAGTAATTACAACTCACTGAAAGCTCAGATGATGGTCAGCCTTTTTCAGCAATAAGGTGCTTTTAATTAAGGTATGCACATTGCTATTGCACACTTAATAGACCACAGTATCACATAAACATCGCTTTTATATGCACTGGGAAACCAAAAAATTCATTTGGCTCACTTGACTGCAACAGTCCCTTTGCTGTGGTGGTTCTCTCCGAGGTATGCCTGTCCTTGCAAGAACAGGAAATGACACCACACATCCCCGGTAACCACTGCAGAGGTGCTCAGGCTCACGCATCTGCCCTGGGCTGTCTCTGGATCAGAGCACGGTTGTTCCCAGGAGCTTGCCCCTCCCCTGGAGACGCTGGAGGAGGCTGGCAGCAGATGCCAGGATGACAGAGCGGGAAGAGCGGGTGGCAGGGACAACTCTGGAGAACAAGGATATATGAACTTCCCCAGGGACCGGAAGGATAGCTCAGAAGGTTGTCAGGCTCCTTCAGAAAGGACACTGCATAAGACGATGGAAGGTCGGCTGGCGGAGGAGACTTGAGGCAGGAGCCGAGGTGGGGGCTACAGAGGTCAGCTGGACAGAGCATCAGGAGAGGTCCCAGGGAGGTCCCTAAGCGGACAAGCAGGGAAGAGGGACATCTCTAAAGAGCCACTAATGTGCCCCTACAAAAAGCTAGCCATGGCAGCCAGGAGGGAGCCAAACGCCCTAGCTCAGCGGAAGGCTCTGCCTCTTGTCTAATGTCTCCATCCCGTGGTCCTTGCTTGACTCTGGTGGGGCCAGAGGATGCTGATGCCAACCCTTGCCCACTGCTGGTTTCCAAGACCCCCAAGCTTGGTAGGGGAGAGAAGCTTTAAGCTGCCTTTGATGTGAACTGGACTTTTTTAATGCTGGTAATCTCCAGGAAATCACTGGAAACCTAAGCAATCTGTCTGCAATGCTCTGAAGAAGCAGAGTGGGATGAGTCCACATCGCCACTGAGGACAGAAATGGGCTCATGATAAAGCTGATTCCTGAGTCCCCTCCAAGTTCACGCATCTAATAACAGTGTTACCTGTCACTTCATTTCATACTCAACAATAACCCTGCAGAGAAGGTACTGCCGTTATCCTCATTTTATAGCTAGGGTCCAGAGACCACGGGAGGTGTGCACAATTACGCAGTCAGATGCAACAGGGGATGGGAAAACTCCGTTATGCACCTCCCTGCAGCTCCCCAGCACGTATGTTCCAAGCAATGTTTCTAATAAAACTTGGGTGAATTGTCCTGTCTTGCTGAATATACACCTGACCTTGTCATCCAGTATTTACTAACCACCTACTTCATGCAGACCACTGGGGATTCTGCCTTTGGAGAGCTGAGAGACCATGGGGAAATGAGAGACAACACACGTATCTATGGCAAATGCTGAGGGATGCCGCCCAGGACCTGGAACAGTGTCAGCAGCTCTTAGAGGACAACGCCCCAAAGTGGCAGCATGTGGGCATCCGAGGACATGGAAACTATACATAAATGGCCCAGCTTGCACACACGCTTGGCTTCAGATGTGCTGCCAATGCTAGGTAAAGACCACTATATACCTGACAATTAATTTTACCTGTATGTACACCTCCTGAAAACGATGTAACAACTGTAACTCCTTCACTCACACTGCTGATGCCCATCTGCATTGCATCAGCCAACACAGCATGCAAAAACAATGCCTTTGCATAACGGCTAACATTTATTCATCCAGGTCAGACATTACTCTAGGAACGTGGGTGAATACTTACTAGGTGCGAGGCACAGTTCTGAGTACCTTGTAATACATGTATCTTGCTTAACTCACTTAACCTGATGATGATGATTGATGATGATGATTCTCTCCATTTGACAGATGAGGAAACTGAGGCAAAGCAGCATTAAGAGACAGGCCCAGCATCACACAGCTACAAAAGTCAGTCACTTTCTGTCCCTCCGTCGCGCTGTCTGTCGCTGTGTGTCTATCTGTCTGTCTCTCTCTTTTTATCCCATGTCTTAATACTGCTTTCACACACTAGTTCTCATCTCTGATGACCCTGAGTCCCCCTTACCAGTTGCTGAGAAAGGGAGACGGTATGTCTTGGACTCTGAGTAAGCCCTCTTCAAACCCACATGCCTCTGGAGCCAACATTACAGGTCAGTCCAGCAACTATTCCTCCACCCTTGGCAGTGCAGAGGGGCACCACGTGGAATCCCATCTTTTCACCTTGTGCCTCTCTCTTTAGGCCTTCACATAAGCACGCACTCGTTCTCTGCTGCTGATGGCATTTCTTCCTGCAAGCCGGGCTTCGACTTGTTGTGGCTGCCAGTCCCCATCAAAGCAGCTGCCTTGGGAAGTTTAACAAGTCAGGAAACTCAGAAAAGCTGGCTGCTGATTTTTGCCACCGTGTGGTCGTGTAACTGGGAGCAGTCTCAACAGGGACTGTGGTGAAATCCCCAGAACCTCAGCCCTGCACCTGGACTGTGCCCAGCCTCCTTCACTAGCCACACCTCTTTTCTTTCTCTACCCATTTTGTTTCCTTGTTTTCTCTTGACTGACCTTCCTTAATCCTTTGTTCAATTCCTTAATCCTTTGTTCAATCCTTTGTTCAATCCTCAAGCTATAGCTTGAGAACTGCTAATCATTGGGAAGCTATTTGAAAAGGCTTCCTAACCAGAGAGATGCTATCTCTCCCTCCCCACATCACACTGCAGACCACCTCCTGAACTTCACAGCTGGGTTCGAGCTTTTTAGTTCAAACTAGACTACTCCACAGTTAATGCCTTGATCATCAGCTGGGCTGGCTGCCTGTACCCATGTCCCACGCCTATTCTACCCGATTGCAGAGGAAGTCCCCCTAATTCCCATACTCAACTAATAGTACTTTCCTTTCGTATCTGGTATAGTAGAAAGTCTTCCAGATCTAGCTTCCAGCTTATCAGAAACACAAGCTGAACAAGGCAAAAATCTTCAAAACAATCCTGGGACAAATGATTCAGCTCCTTCCACAAATCAATAGGTCGCAGAAAGAAAAGGAGGGGGACTTATAAAAGTCATCTTTGACACTGCAGGGGAAAATCTGGACATGGACTGGGTATTGGATGATGCTGAGGAATGGTTATTAATTTTGTTGGTGTGCTTCTAACACTTGAAACAACTTTTAACATGATTTTTATGTGGGGAAAAAAAAGAAGGCATTCTAGTCACAGATGTGTGCTAACATTTACAGGTGACAAGAAGGATGCTTGGATTTTGTGTTTACACGCTGCAGGGAAGGGGAGGGACAGGAAGGGGAGGACAGAGGAAGAGAAGGGGAAGGAAAAGTTGAGCCTAGGGGGGATTACTGAAACCAAACCCACAGAATGGCAATTGCTAAAGCTACACAATGCGACTTGTATGTGTATTTGCAAATGAAAAAAAAATTTAATGACCAGGCTCTGAATAAGGCAGTTCATACTTAAACCAAAAGTCAAAATAAGAACCAAAGAACTAAGTCAAAGAAACCATATTTCCTAGTTGGCAATGCGTCAGTGATATCATCCCAAAGTCCCCTATGGGTCTCTTGCCACACACAAGGAGAGGGAGTGACCAGACTGGACCAAGTCAGACCTGCCTTCAGGAAGCACACACTCTCACCCATGAGCCGACCCCTCTACACCTGAAACCATGGCTAGTCCCAACAACTAACTTTATTAGGAGGGAGCCCCCGGCGTCTCCAAAATAGCAACCACCTAAGGAACCTGTCATATTTATAGGATACTGTACTTACTTTCTCCATCAGCAATTGCAAAACAGATCAGCTAAAATTAGCAAGAGGGCTACGGTGTTCAGAATCTTTCCCAAATGCTTACAAGGAATTTCTGTTTAACTCTGCACTAAGAAGGTGGCCAGACACTCCTTGCTGACATTCCTCTGAGCCTAATGCTTTAATTAATACACACACAGCAAAAGTGGGGCTTTGTATCACATTAAAGAGCGATACCTGCACAGATATTTACATTGTAAAACTCCAGGAATAAAAAGAAAGGTAGACACATCCCAGCCTGCCCCTAATACACAGATGTATGGCATCCATCCATCATATCAACTTTTAACCTTAAACCATAAACCTTGGATCTAACCCAGTTCCTAACTAGATCCAAACCCCAAATCTCCAAAGCCAAAGGAACAGAGTGCATTCCCCAAGTTATTTTTCTTATTTCAAAAAGTGAGTTAGAAATGTTACATTTGCCACACCTAGGAAAATGGAGATTAGTGAAAATAAAGTTCTCATGTTTGGGGGTAAAATTACATCACCTCAAAGTCAAACACTGGTTATCTCATGTTGATCAAAAACAGACCAGCAATTATGCGTCAAGGATTTTTCAGCAGGGAAATCAAATGAATTGTCACTTAATACAGTTTGTTTGAAATATGGAATTGTTTCAAACATGTTATCTTTGGAAGGAGAAATAAATTACAGGGTATTCAGCATTAAAAAGTGTGAAAGCGTGGTCTCAGATTGCATAAGACAGGAATATATTTTTTGAAGAAAGAAAAGTGCCCCTTTATTTTTTTTTTTAAGATTTTATTTATTTATTTGAGAGAGAGAGAATGAGAGAGAGAAAGCACATGAGAGGGGGGAGGGTCAGAGGGAGAAGCAGACTCCCCGCCGAGCAGGGAGCCCGATGCGGGACTCGATCCCGGGACTCCAGGATCATGACCTGAGCCGAAGGCAGTCGCTTAACCAACTGAGCCACCCAGGTGCCCCGAAAAGTGCCCCTTTATAGTGAGAGGTCTTATCTACCGCAGATGCAATTTAATTTTAAAAATCAATTCAACACATTTATGTAGAAACGGCAGTGCCCAAAACAAATACCACAAATCTTTTTACAGATGAAAATGTGCATTAAGCATGCATATATAAAAACTAGATTTCACCTTGGTCTGTGGAAGACCAGTTTAACACCAGGAAGCATGTAGCCTAGAAATGCAAGACAGAGGCACTGGGAAATAAGTTGCCGGGACCACCTGGTAATTGTGCAAACTTTAAAGACCCCCTTTTGTCATCCGCCTGCACCATCCACACTCTGAGGCACTGGACACCTGAAGCAAATGCTGGAACAACTATCAGGGAAGCAGGATCGTGTAGAGGTCAAAAGCAGACTCAGGGGCCAGCCTGCCTGGTGTGAATCCCAGCCCTGCCACTCGCTGGCTGTGGAACTTCAGGCAAGGTTTTTTGTGCATTAGTGAGCATACAGAAAGAATTTGGCCTTTCATAAGCAATCTTAGTTATTAGTACCGCTGCCGGTGGGGGCCCAATAAAAAGGCACTCCCACCACATGGCTCTGATTCTTCTCTCTTGCTCTCTCTCCTTTCCACCCCACATTCCTCTTGTGATCCATCCCCTTCTCTGGTTTAGCACACCTTCTTTCTTCTCTTAGGGCATTTCAGGCACATTACCAATCACAAATGCCATAGGCCCAGGACAAGGCCACCTGACCAAAGGGCCCCTGACCCCTGAGAGAAGAGTCTCACAAATTGGTTTCTCTGAAACCAATTGCCAGTGAAAATCCTGACGCCTCAGAAAGTAATTCCCTCCACTGTCAAGGGGAAGGGAGATTTTACTATGAATTACTTGTCTGTTCACGTAACAGATTAAAACTGACTCCTCCAGAGCCACAAAGAAAATCATATGGTCAACTCAAGCTCATTTTGAACGTTAAAGGGACCCTATTGATGCCTGAGCCAAAGACTCAGTCATATCCCACCCACCTAGAAAGGTCTTCCCCACCACTCCCAAGATGCACACCATACTACTGGTCACATTCAGGATTCTTTCTCAAAGACTACTAGATCATGGCACCACAGAGCAGGAAAGGTTTTTACAGATCATCTAAATCAAAGGTCACACACCCAAATACAATAGCATACCTGCCAAGTCATGAACCACAAAGGGACTGGAGCCAGCCGGGGACTGTGTGTCCTATTTGAAGGGAGGGCCGCTACGCAGCTCCAGCCATCTGCTATCATGGGCCTGGAACTGCCACAGGATCTGACTGTTTAAGAGAAGCTGGAAGTTCTGGGGTGCCTGGTCGGCTCAGTCAGTTAAGCATCCAACTCTTGGTTTCGGCTCAGGTCATGATCTCAGAGCCATGAGATCGAGCGCTGCATCGGGCTCCATGCTGGGCATGGAGCCTGCTTACAATTCTCTTTCTCCCTCTCCCTTTGTCCCTCTCCCCTGACTTGCACTCACTCTCTCTCTCTCAAAGAAAAAAAAGAGAGAGAGAGAAGCTGGAAATTTAGATATTTATGTGTGGGCCAAGCAAAACACCTACAAGCCAAATATGGCCCAAATGCTGCCAGATCACCCATGTTGGGCCACACAAAGCAGGAGTTCCCACATGTAGGCTCCAGGCCCCTAGAGATCACAAAGCTACTGCACAATAGTCACTAAGCCCAATGGTGAGGAGGGAGCAAGGGCCCCAAGTAGTCATTGTTCATAGAATGAATAAATAATGTGCCTTGCTCTTATAAGAACTATTTTTGGGGCACCTAGGTGGCTCAGTTGGTTGGGAGGCTGCCTTTGGCTCAGGTTGTGATCCCAGGGTCCTGGGATCGAGCCCCACATCGGGCCCCCTGCTCAGTGGGGAGCCTGCTTCTCCCTCTGCCTGCCCCTCCCCCTGCTTGTACTCACTCTCTCTCTGTCAAATAAATAAAATCTTTAAAAAAAAGAACTATTTTTATTCTAATGTAAAAGGACATTTTAATATTAACAAAACCAAACTTTACTTACAAACATCACCAAATTGATGACTTTTCATTCCATATTTTCTCAAATGAGGAGATTCCAAAAACACAACCACAAGCACGTAATATACCCAGATTTTATTTACATGGGAGAGAGAACCTTCACACTTGCAACATTCACAACCACCACCTGGACAAATTCTGCCATTTGACTGCTGGGATTGGAAGTTTATGTGACTTGCCCACAGTCTCACAGCTCCTTACAGAGCCTGGAAAGGAAGCCCAGAGTCCCTGAGACCCAATCCAGTCTCCTTCTCCTCCACCAAGGAAGGTGGGTTCTGACCCAAAAGTGGCCCAAGAAGTGGCATAGCATGGATGAAAACCCAGGCCTAATGTGATGAAAAGAAAATGTTGGTCCAAGCTGTTTTCAACAACACCTCTTCAAAGCTTCACAGGAGCTCAGAGGTAGAAGAAGCCTGGGTGCCCCCCATACCCCACCCACATCCAAACCATCCCTTCAACTGCGTCCCAGATGAGGGCCTTCCAGTCTTGGATGGATAAGGAACTCGGTATCTTGCCATGCTAGATGGCAATGCATCTTCCAGCCCCCATACCACTCTAATCTCCCAGCCTGGCCATTTGGAGTGTCTACTTCCCTCTCTACCCTCTTCAGCCCCTTCCTACTCCACACCTCCAAACACTGCCTCTAAATGCTCCCTTCATACTCTCCCTTCTTTCCGTTGCTTTATTTCCCCAACTAGCTGGCTGCATTATGAACAAGAGTTTACTCACTTCCCACTCCTACTATTGATCTAGTTAAGGATGGCTGACTTGAGGTGGGAGCACAGAGGCCAACACTTGAGAGACAGCTCTGTCCACTAAGTCAAGTCAGAGCACTTGAGGTCAGAGCAGGTGGTGGGGGAAAGGGGCATGCACTCCATTCAGGCCATAGGCAGTGTTACGAGCCAGGCTGCCAAATGCAGCTGTGTAAGCTGTGCACTGCAGAATTTCAAGGGCACCACTCAAAAAAGACCAGGTTGCGAGCAGTGCCCTCAGGAGCTGCGCAACAGAGCCACCCGGGAAGGGGTCGGTAGCCCACTCTGCAGGCACATGGAAATGCAAGTGGGGCTGTCAGGAGATGGAGTGCATCTTTCAGTTATTCTATCAGTAAACAGTGGCTGAACGGCCAACTGAGTTTCTCATACCTGAGTGTGTCGACAAACCCCCTAGCAGCTTACCAAAAATGAGGATTGCCCAGACCTCTCCAGAAACTCAGAATCCTCAGTTCTGTAGGTGGGAGCGGGGTGGAGAAGGGGGTAGAATAGGAATGTGTATGTTGTTCTTTAACAACCAGCTTCTTGAAAAATCCTAGCAAACAAAGTTGAGGCTTAGGAGAAGAAAGATATTATAAGGGCCAAGATTATGTTACCAAGGAGAAAATGTTTATATTTGTATAAGGCTTATTCTTTCCATCTCAGCTCTATTTTATGAAGAACAGTGTTCTGAAAACCATTAATGATGACGTTCACATATAATCCATAAAACAACTGCCACTAGAAACACCAACCCTAGCTATTTCTCACCACAATTTTTAAGAGCACACAGACACCCTAGACTCCAAAACAAAATAGCTATTCTGACAGCTCGCTAAATTTATAGCTACCATGTGCCAAATCATAGGAAATCCACATTCTAGCTGGTAAAGGCCCTCCTACCTGCCTATCAACATGGCAAATACTGGGACACATACCTTGTGTTCCTCCTTCATCACCTGTTCAATGAGTTCAGATTTCACTGGAGGTTTTGAATACTGGCCTGAGAGAAGGCCATGTCCTAGCTTAGTCCTGGACAGGAGGGAGAAAGAAAAACAAAAAGGTCATTGTTGTTTCCCCATAGAGACATTAACATTACCTATGAATGCTTTTAGGTGGAACATTTTATCTTGATTACTCAAAAATAACTTATTTATTTGATTTTTCTTGATAACTGATGCCATTTCAGACCATCCTCAGTACTTTATAAATAACTATTAATATCTTTCTTCTTAACAAAAGTAACATGTGTTCATTTTAGAACACTGTTAATACAGAAAATTTTAAAAAAGAGAGAATTGCCTTTAATTCTGCAACCCAGCAATAACCATTATGAACACTTACTGAATACTCCTCTAAAAAACTTTCAGATACTTTTCAATCAGCACTTACATTTGTGTGTTGAAGTCCTGTGTTGGATCTAAAGGAGAGTAGTCAAATATTCTTGGAAGATTTCCTACATACCTAGAAAATGAGAAGGGAGAATAAAAACATAGGAACTGAAAGAACAGAAACAAAATAAGCTGCCATCCTAGCGAAGACCTTCTTGCCTTTCTATCAAAGTTAAATCATCCACCTAAAGAAAACTTTTTCTGAGATCCTACCTCTGCAGCCATATTCATGGGCCTCCCTAAAATGTTTGTGTTTCTATCAGTGGGTCTCCACCCTGGGTGCAGGTTAGAATCACTCACAGAGTTTCTCCGAAAAACACCAAAGCCAGAGCTACCCCCAGATGTTCTGATGTCATTGCCTGAGACTGAGGCCTGGGATTTGCAATCTTTTCAAAGTCCCCCAAGTGATTATAACATGTAACCAGAATCAAGAACCACCAGTTTATGCCATCTCATTTACCATCTCAAAAACGAATGGTAAGGGGCGTCTGGGTGACTCGGTTAAGCATTTGCCTTCGGTTCAAGTCATGATCCCCGGGTCCTGGGATCGAGCCCCACATTGGGCTCTCTGCCCAGCAGGGAGCCTGCTTCTCCCTCTCCCTCTGCCTGCCACTCCCCCTGCTTGTGTTCGTTCTCTCTCTCTCTCCATCAAATAAAAAATAAAAAAACAAACGGTAAGACTAGGAATTATGCCAATCGTATCAAAATGAATACTGATGGTAATAGCAGTGACGACTACCACTGCTTGAGGGCTCTCTGTATACTCTGGTTGGGTCTTCATTACAACCGTATGAGGAAGGGATGGTTATGGCTACCCACTAGAGAGATGAGAAATCAGGATGCTTCCAAAGTTACCCAAGGAAGGAGTGATGAAGCCCAGAGTGCACCAGGGAGCCTGGCTCCAAACCCCTGCTCTGAACCACTCTGCCCAGTCCGTGCTCCTTTGAGCAGGCCCCAGCCCCTCCTTCTGACCAGTTTACCGTGACAGAGCAGTGCCAACTTCCACCACCCATCTCTAACCTCAATGTACAATCATTCCTTTCACTTCTTAAGTTCATTTCCTATTTCATACCCTCTGCTTTGTGCTGTTCATCTTTCCATCTTCAGGCTTTGACTCTCTGAGCGTGAAAGCTCTAGAGAGAAGAATCCAGAAGCAGATCCCTTTCCCTGGCACTTCATGCACCCTGCTCTGCCCACTTCTCTGACCTCATTCCCATCCCTCTCCCTAGCCCACAGCACCCCAGCCACGTGCCCTTCTTTGCCAGGACATACCAAGCTCACACCTGCTTCAAGGTCATGCCATCTGCTGTCTCTTTCCCAGAATGTTCTCTCCACAGACCTTTGCTCCATCTCAGATCTGTTTAAAAGGCACCTCCCCACCTCTCCTAATTCCCCATCACCTGATCCTGGCTGACTTTCTTCTTGGCATGCAACAGTATTTGCAATTTTATAATTTATCTCCTTGTTGATTATCTCTCTAGAGATTATATACTGGAGTATAATCTCCATGAAGGCAGATACATTTTCTAAATTACTGCATTTCCAGCACTAGAATAGCATCTGATGTGTAAAAGGCACTAAAAAAACATTTGTTGAATGAATACATTCATATAATGTAATCATATAACCAACTTCCATAACTGACTACCTATAAACCAACAGAAAAGACATTACTGCAACAAAGCCCGAGCAGAGAACCACAACACACTGGTAGTTAGCAATGACCTCTACTTCCAGATGCCTGCAGGCACCTGCTATCTACAAACTCAGAATTTGTACCCCAGATTATGTACTTCTGTCAAAATTAACAGAGCCCACTTCTCTGGGACAGCCCCTTTCAAATGGCTTTTGGATATGTCATCTAGAAATTTTCAGTGGACCAAGAGCCAAATAAGAGATCAACCAAACTTTGTAACCAAACTATGCGCAGCCAGAGACCGCACAGGGGAATTGTTAATATACAACATGATGAACTCATTAGCTCTCTTACAAGCCAGTCTTTATCGTATTTCAAAAGCTGACCAGATAAGAAAACCTCACTGGGAAGATGAACATTAGTGAGGCTTATGCTTTCAGGCAAGATTGGTGGAGAAAAATGAAAAATTAAAGGTGGTAAATCTTTGATGTCAGAAAAGTCCATTTTGCAGGGCGCCTGGGTGGCTCAGTTGGTTAAGCGACTGCCTTCGGCTCAGGTCATGATCCTGGAGTCCCTGGATCGAGTCCCGCTTCGGGCTCCCTGCTCGGCAGGGAGTCTGCTTCTCCCTCTGACCCTCCCCCCTCTCATGTGCTCTCTCTCTCTCATTCTCTCTCTCTCAAATAAATAAATAAAATCTTTTAAAAAAAAAAAGTCCATTTTGCTAGTAATTACTATTATTTTCTAAATGATGAGGAATATCCTTCATTACAACAAAGTTAAATTAAAACGCAGAAGTAATGGTTCTCACAAAAGTAGTTTTGCTATCTGACAATCCATCTTAGCTCTCATTCAATTTATACACCATTTATTTCGATTTGATCAGCATCAGAATTATTCTGAAATGTAAACCGGGTTCTAGCAGCAGGCAGGGTATCACGGAGTCAGGCTGACATTTCCGAATTACACTCTGGTTGTGCGTAAGCCATTTAATCTCTCCATGAGTCACTCTTTCTACTTACAAAATGGAGACATTGCTCCTGGACCCAACTCCACTGAGAGTTAGTCCTGCTGGGGAGAAAGGAGTTTGAAGAGCAAGTATTTCAACCAAGTGATGTTTGGTAAAAGAACGAACACACTGAGGACAAGTATTATGAGTAGGTTGCCCATGTAGTAATATACACAGTAAATGTTTAGAAAATAGAATATTAAATATTCAGTAATATACAATTCTGAGACTCTTGAAACAACACTAAGGGGAGATATGTGAATCTTAATTCCAAAACACAGATATGAGGTACCTTTTTTCACTTGAGAAAAAAATTCAGAAATATGACTGTTCATCAAACTTTGGAGGATAGAGAGCATTTTCAAAACCTATAGACTGTAAGTCACCGAAACAGTTGTTGGGTTTTGTAACCAAAGAACACAAGTTCCCTCCATTCTAGTTTAAAAGAAATAATAATTATACAACATCTACCGCAAGGCCTTTCCTTCAATATTTTTTTTTTAAATAAGGGACCATGAGAAACGTAAGATGAAGTTACACTGTTCCCCAATCAAATAATAATACAAGTATGAGACATGGGCAAAATTTTATAGAAATAATACAATGTGTCAGGCATCTAAGTAGCTCAGTTGGTTAAACGTGTGCCTTCAGCTCAGGTCATGATCCCAGGGTCCTGGGATCGAGCCCCATGTTGGGCTCCCTGCTCAGTGGGGAGCCTGCTTCTCCCTCTCCCTCTGCTGCTCCCCCCGCTTGTGCTCCCTCCCCCCCAAATAAATAAAATCTTAAAAAAAAATATGATGTGTGAGGCATACCTTTGAAAAAGTGCTCCCATCTCAGAGCTTCAAACTTGCTCTTTCTCTGTCCAAACCCTCTGTCCCCAGTCCTCCTGCATATCAGTCAAGGTGTGTGTCCCTTTGTGTGCCCTCTCTTCAAAGAGATCCTCCCTGACCATCTCTTCCCCTTTTCCTTCATGGAACTTACCATGTTTATTACCATGCAGTTGTTCTTCTGATCATTTATTCACTGTTTCCTCAAGTGGAGCCAGGCACCATGTCCTTTTGTTCACCACTGAACCCCCCTCCCCACCCAGCACCCTGTTGAGCAGAGCAGAACCCACTCTTCATTGGCTGGATGAGAAAATGAAAACTAGACATGCAAACTGGCCATAAATTTCCAAAGCCGGAAAATGGCAAGAAAAGTAAGTCTTCAAATACCAAGAGAGAAAAGAAAAGGGTATCTGATATACTTTTGATTAGCTACCATGAAAGCCATTAGCATTTCAACTCCACAGGGCTAAAAAATTGCCCTGGGCTATTCCTAGCATGCTGTCTGCCCCTTCATCAGTGGGTCAGTGCGTGTCCTCTTCCGTACTTGAACCGTGGTGGAAACCAACCCGCTCTGGAATACACTAGAGATAATTTCCTGAACTTTAGGCTGTGGCTGCCCACAAGTGCACCAGCCTCAGTCCCGGTCTGTGCAGCCCCCCTCTAAACCCAGCCCAGAGAAGAGAAGGGCCACAGATATAGCCGCTCTGCCCTCCATATGGGAGGAAGGAGGCAGCCTCATACACACACACTTAGGAAACATCCTCCATCAGTGCCTCCCGATTATCTGTGGCGAAGGGACAGCTTTTCTGTTTATTTCAACTCATACAGATGACTCCTTTAAGATACATAATAAAAGTAATTCGAAAAATGAAATGTCACTCATAAAGCATGACAATGTCGACTTGCTACAAAAATTTCCACATGCTCCCTCTCCGTTTCCATAGTTATCACACATCCATACCCAGCAGTCCAAGGACCAGCATCAGTCCGTGAACCACATTTTGAGTAGCGAATAACACAAAGCTTAAATCCTCTAAGAAACTCCACTCACCAGGAGGGCAACACTGACCAAACCAATCACTGAACCTCTCCTAGCGTATCTATAGAAGGAATATGGCAGGCATTCTGTGAAGATGGATGATTAATATTTTGTTGGCATAGAGGGGGACTGAAGGTCTAAAAACGGAAGCCATTATTAATACGACAAGCCCCGGTAAGTTTCGCAGTTACAAAGCTCTCCTAATCTCACCTGATTCCCATAACACTTGACAAGTGTTCTCACCCAGCTTCAGTGCAAGAAGTCACACCACGCGGATGCAGTGGCATGTCCTGCAGCTGATGAAGACCAGCTTCCCCTGCACATCCGGGGGTGGACAAAGGGCAGCGCTGTGCACCCAGCTCCGCGGGGGGACACTTACGCTCTCTGGAACTCTGGGATGCTGAAGATGGCCTGCATGACGGAACTCAGGTAGCAGCTGTTGCCCAGATTCTTGAGACCCGTGTACCCGGGGCCATACATGGGCTTCAGCTTCGTCCCCGTCTCCTGGATCACTTCCCACTCGCTGACCCGAGGCTTGATGTCATTGTCCCGAAGCCCGTTCTCTGTCTGGGGCAAAGTCATCGAAGGAAACCAACTTTAGTTGTAATTATCACCCAAAGCCCATGTCCCAAGAATTATTTCTAACAGCAATGAATGTTTCTGCCCCTTTGTTCCCGAAGATAAGCAGAAAAATCACCTAGTTAAAGGGACTGACGTGGCGATGCTGCACAAAAATGTCAATGTATTTAATGCCACAGAATCACACACTTAAAAATAGTAAAATGGTAAATTTTATGTTATGTATGTCTTTCCACAGTAAATACACACACTTAAAAGATTTAAATATGAAAGAGAGAGATGAAGGGGAAAGGAGATAGGAGGAAGAAAGACAAATAGGAACAGAAAGAAAGAAGTTAGTATACTGTAAAATACAGTAAAAACTGTATTTTCCAGTGCAACCCAGCCAACAGAAAGGCAAGGCCGCTGGAGAGGAAAGTGAAGGAAAATCATGGGCCTTGGAAGTGCCTTGAAGGGTGACGTGAGTGAGGACAAGGAGACGGAGGGGAGGAGAGCCCGAGGAGAGGGAGACAGGCTGGGAGGGAAGGGTCCAGGCAGAGCGCGCACACTGAAGCAGCTGCTCACAGGCACAGACGTTACATAGTCATGATATCAGCTTGAAAACACAATATTAAATGAAGCAAAGCTCTTCCCATCAACAACAATATGTTGGCTTATTCTTTCCACCCCCGAGCTCTGCTTCCCTTCCTGAAATTAATTAAAGTGATGTCGGTCACAGATAATTTTAAAGGTCATCTTCCCATACTTTCTCGCTTCAGTGAACAAGGAGTGATTCATGCAACTCTCCACCAAAGGATACAGAAATTTTACAAGTAAATTCCAACTAAGACAAACGGTACTTGATGAGGTACCATTTTTATTATAACATTAAAAAAAAATATAAGCTGGTAACCAAAAGAAAATGTTAATTAATTAAATTCAAGAAGTAAATGCAAAGTAAGATTCCTGTTACAGCAATTACATATTAAAGAAACCAAAGGGTTCCCTCCCTGCAAGGTAGGAATACAAAGTGGACCTTCTTACCCCATGCATATGAAGCATATCAATTCCAAAATGCGCTAAGTGCTTGGCCAAATGAGGATCCAAAACAGGTTCCTCTTCTTGAAAGGAATAAACATCTACAGGGTGAAGAGAAAACAAGGAATGAGATCTTTAATCAAGTCATTCAGTATTCAACATATGTCTATTGAGCTCCCACTATGCACCAGGCTTGGGATACATGGGTGAATAAAGCCAATAGAAACCTCCTGTGAGTTACACACTCAACTGGAGAAAAGACAGATGAGCAACAACAAACATAATTAATAGGTCTATTTTGTAATTATACCCATATAGCAATTTTTGACATTTCAGGAGGTTAATTTTTAAAAAGGTTTTCTGAGACAAAAAAAAATTTAAAAAGCAGTGTCTAAAGTTAAAATAGTTGAAATGAGATGAGTGTAAATGCCTACCAACTGATCTTCTAACCAAAACTGCGCTGGCATAACAACTGTGCAGGAGGAGGGAGGGGTGAGGGAGGACAGAGAGGCAACACCTGCCATGGCAGGGGAACCTACAAGGGAACAGAGGGGACACACAGGCCCTCGGGAGCAGCTGAGTGGCTGGAGTAAGGTGTTAGGTCCAAGACAAAGCTAACTTCTGCTGTAGACTCCTCTACAGTCTCAGACCTACCAGCTCACCAACGTCCACCTCCCACCTGCCCCTTCATCCCTTCTTTCTAACATTAGTGTCCACACCCCACAGAGCTGGGGAGGGACTTAGTGAAGAATGTTCAGTCCACCACCCCGTAGCACTCACAGCAAATGAGGATGCTCAGGGCCCAGCCAGGTAACTCAGGAGGTTCTAGCCACCCCCAGGCCCAGCCCACCGGTCCCAGGGCCTGAGGGGTTGGTTATCTTGGCCTTCTGGGCAAATCCCCCCAAAAGCTATCAAAACTACTGCCTTGTGTGTCCTCACACAGCAGTGCAGCGTGGGAGAGGGGACAGATATCTTCAGGCCCATTTTGCAGATGAGGAAAAGAGGCTCATAAGGTTAAATCATTTGCCTCAAACCCCACAGGGAGCCCACAACCCATGTATCCTGACCCCTCACCCAGTCCTTTTTCCTCTACACCAGACTATCTCTTTATATCTCTCAGGAGACTCAGAGACTTGGTGAAGCACCATCCTAGGCCCTTAATAGGAAGGGAGAGTCAAAAACCACAATGTCTTCACTCTTAAATTAGAAAAACAAAATCTATTACAATGAAAATAGATATCAAGATAGTAGGGGTTCGTGGGTGGCTCAGTCAGTTGAGCGTCCTACTCTTGGTTTTGGCTCAGGTCATGATCTTGGGTGGTGGGATTGGGCCCCATGTTGGGCTCCATGCTGGGTGTGGAGTCTGCTTGAGATTCTCTCTTCCTCTGCCCCTCCCACTCATGTTCTCTCTCTCTCTCTCTAAAATAAGTAAATAAGGGCGCCTGGGTGGCTCAGTCAGTTAAGTGTCTGCCTTTGGCCCAGGTCATGATCTCAGGGTCCTGGGATCGAGCCCCACATCGGGCTCCCTGCTCAGCGGGGAGTCTGCTTCTCCCTCTCCCTCTGCCCCTCCCCCTGCTCCTGCTCTCTCTCTCTCTCTCTCACTCTCTCTCTCCCAACTAAATAAATAAAATCTTTTAAAAAAATTTTTTTAAATAAAATAAGTAAATTTTTAAAAAGAATAAAAAGGATAGCATTCTTTAGGACAGTAAAAGAGATTGTCCAAGGATTTTCCTCTTCTTTGGAACATCACCAGGAGGAATAAAATACACACACACACACACACACACACACTATGGTGATCTGACCGAAACCCAGATATGTGGAGACTCACTGCCACCAAAGGAAGTCAGTCTTCCCATTATTAATGGGTTAGATGTTGTATAGCTTTCTCTCCTATCCCTCTTCCTCTAGGGGCCCATTTTAACTTGTAGATAGGCAGCCTTCATTTATATTCTTTCTTTAGTATAATTCAGTGCTCTCAAAAGCAAAAACACAAGACAAAATCCCCAGCCCAATCAAGAAAAACTTCCCCAAAAGTTTAAATGCTAAAAACACGAACAAAAATCTTTAATAACTTGAAACAAACACATAAATAATATTTTTAAATCTATGGCAAGTGACAAGAAAAATACCACTCAAATACTGGCTGAAGGTGAAAATGACATTCCCTAGGCACTTTAACTTTGGTTATTATTAACTAGTGAAATAGTTTTGAAGACTTAAGACTCTAAGCCTCTAATTATTTGAGCTTTATTAGAAAATAACAAAGTTGCCAGACCTGAACAGTTGACATTGGCCTAGGATTTTGAAATAAGTGAAAATCACAAAGCACTCTATAATTTTTAATTTGTTAAGCTCATGCCATATTGAGAAATTAATGTTTCCTCCCTCCAGTCATTAACTGCTCCGAACATGTGACATGATTTGGTCAGACACGACAGTTTTTTTTTTACTCCAATGACAAAAACAGTTGAGTGAGTAACATACAAGAAATCTAAAAATGAACTGTGATCCTCGAATTTGGCAAGCATGAAGAATTTATAAATGACATGTAGTCATAGAAAAAAAATTTGAAGTGGACTCAGGAAAGAGCACCCTAAGATGCTACTGAGCTGGTGCAGGGGCCAGTAGGGGCAGGATTTCACAGCTGCTGTGGGCATCTCCATAAGCTTCTTCTGCAACCACCAAGGCACTGAGGCTTCTTTTAGGTAACCTAGTTTCATGATAGAAGAATGAAACACCTTCTCCTGTCTCTGTCCCTCCTCACTGCCTTCCCACCCAGAAGAACCTCATCCTCACTTTGCCAAATCAATGTCTCCTCCCACAGAGGAAAGCTCTTATTTGTTTGTTTGTATGGTGATCTGTTTCTGGGTTTGTTTGTCACTGTACTCATGGAGACCCAGAATGGAATTTGATATGGGGCCATTTTTATTACCCATGCCACCACAATGGCCTCGCCTAGGCGGTCCAGGCTTGTTGGAAGAACCGATTCTAAGTTGCGACCTCAAGGTAAGTAGGAGTTTCTCACCGAACAGGTATATCCTTACTGGGGAGAAGGAGACCGGGATGATCAGATCACATTACCATAAAATAGTTGAGTCCACAACCTGCTTGGATTCCATGTTCACTAAGCAATACTCTAAATATAAGTCAGCTTCCCACAGGAAAGGAATGTACTGGTCAAGCCAACATAAACATCCCACTTACAGGCAGTTGTGGTTCTCACCATAAACTAAAAAATAAACACTTTCTCTCTTGCTCGTTGAATTAGCCTCAGTGAGCCTAGCAAATACGGAAATGGGACCATTGGGAGTGTTACCTTCACCAGGAGGTGGCTACCCGCCCCTAGACAGAGGGCACCCTGCACTCCCAGGCCTCATTGTCCACAAGGCTCATCATCAGACATTAAGGGAAACTTTAGGCATGTTTACATTAACTTATTTGGCTTTAAAATAAACGAGTTACAGCTAGCAAAATATTAAACAGGCCTAAAAGAAACTAATATAAGATTGATGCATCCCATAAACTAATATAATAATTAGACTGAAAATAATCATTTGTGTTAAAACCAACTCTGCACAAGACAAGCAGAAATCAAATCCTGATCTTTCTTCAAAAAGTGAACATTATCTCAGGTGAATGAATTCAAGAACTCTCATCACAGGCTATAGGATCTACATTGCTGTTTGTTTTATGCCTTCTATGATCGAAACAGGAATATTTATTCAAATACTCTCAATTATATAAGGAAAAGTTCTCCCTCCTCTACAAACACAACAAAAAAAAAAAACACTTAACTATGGCAGATAATGAATTAATAGTCTTAGCAGCTGAAGAGTTTTTTTAAAACCAATAAGGAACACCTACACATATGCCTACTAGAAAATCAACCTAAGAAATTCACAAATAGAATTACAAATGGCCAAAAATACTATGAAAAATATTCAGCCTCACTAGTAAAGCAAATGAAAACAAGATACCAGATTAGCAAAGGTTTTTAAAAATGGCAAATATCCAAAGTTGTCAAAGATTTGCTGAAATGGGTATTCTCATACACTGTTAATGGGAATGTAAATTACTGTAACTGTTTAAAAGAGAAATTCGGCAACTGAAAATTTTAAAGGTTCAACCCTTTGTTCATAAGAATTTATCCTAAATATATCATCAGACAAACATCCAAAGATTTCCATATATACAAGGATGCTCATCAGAATAGCAAAAAAATTATAACAAATAATAGGAGTATAGTGAAATGATTTATGGAACTATCGTGGGATACTGAAGAGTATTTAATGACATGGAATATATATATATATATTTAATGTTAAACAGAGGAAAACAAGGAATAGAACTTTATACAGTGTGATTCCTTTTTTGTAAAAATGTGGGGTAGGGGCAGTCTGGGGGGGTTGTATAAGAATTGACCAAGGCCTTAAAACAGAAAACAAAACTGAAAGGAGATACCCAAATTGTTAGAAGTGATTTGTCAAATGATATTACTAGTGATTTTTATTTACTTCTCTAAATCTTTCTGTTTTCTAAATATGTTACACTGAATATCTGCTCCTTGTATAATCAAGGGGCAAATATAAAATGTTCCTTCCTCAAGTTGAAAGGAAAAAAGCTTTAGATGAAAATTAGAAAAAAGTCTAAATCATAGTTTGAAAATAAGTTTCATGCTAGAAAAAAGGCTTCTGGAAAATTAAAGACATCAGAAGAGAATTAACCCTTGTCTTTATTATTAGCATACATTTAAATAGAATCTAATTATTTAAATACATACCAGTCAGTTTATTTAACAAAAGTATTTGCGCCTACCACGTGTAAGATTTTACATGGAACCCAAAGATGAGTAAGACATAGCTCTGGCTTCAAACAACTGAAATTTTAGAACAAAGCCATGTATACAAATAATTGTAGTCTTAGGTTGTTCTAGGAACTGGACTTCTAATAATTGGTTTTATCAAAGCACTACAAAAAACAACATAGAAAGGAGGCACATTCAGGGCGCCTGGATGGCGCAGTCAGTTAGGCATCTGACTCTTGGTTTCCGCTCAGGTTGTAATCTCAGGGTAGTGGGATCAAGCCCTGTGCCAGGCTCCATACTCAGCATGGAGTCTGCTTGGGATTCTCTCTCCTTCTCCCTCTGCCTGCAACCCACCCCCCCACCCCCACCATCCACACGCTCACACTTGCATGCACGCTGTCTCTAAATAAATAAATCTTAAAAAAAAAAAAAAAGGAGACACATTCAAATGATTCTCCCCCTACAATTTTACCCACTAGAACTCCTATATTACAAACCCTTCCCTCTGTAGCCTTATGATGGTTGCCTTGTACAGCAGTCATTCAACATAGCGAAGACCTGTAAGCGACGTGCTGTAACCCTCCATCCAACTGCATGTCCCGAATTTCCTCTTCAGATTCTGGAATTCGTAGGATTCACCCTGGCTTGTGTAGAGGTTTTGTACAAACGTGGCCAAAAACTAACATTTGAGAGCATACGGTGTGAGAACATAAAGAAAGAGAACCAATTCTGAAGCTGACAATACAAGTAGGAACCAAGTCTAATCCTTTGCTGCCGGCCGCTGTCAGGGACTCTGACATACAACCTCCTTTAAAATCCCTTTCCTTAATGTTTCCATTAGTTTCTAAAATGATGCTCACCCCCATAATGAATTCTAGGGCTTCCCTCTACAGTTCTAAAGGTGGACTTGATTACCCCTGTTCACTTCACAAGTCCTGGTTCCTACCCCTCTGTCCTCTTAGCCAAGAGATATACAGAAAGACAGTAATAACAGGTAATAGTAGCACTAACTTTTATTAAGGCCTTACTGCATGCACTGGGCTAAATGCTTTAGACACATTAACAGATCTATGAGAGAGCTACCACGATCATCCTCAAGATGAGGAAACTGAAGCTGAGAAGGATTTGAAGACTTGCCAGCGAGAGGCAGAATCAGGATTCACACCTGAGCTGTGTCCAGAGCCTCCACCTTCCAACCTAGGAATGAAGGCACCGGTTCAACTAAGAGGAGCCACTGCAAGTTTGGACAGTCAGTGAGGGCACACTCACCCGCCCCGTCAGGAGTGATGGTTCCCAGTTTCACGGCTAGAGGGTAGCCCATGTCTCTGTAATGCTCCAGCGCGTGGCCGTTGCCTCCAGAGCTGTCGAAGAACCACTTCCCACACAGCACGGAGCCATCGGTCAGATTCAACCAGAGGTTCTCCCGCAGGTCACACCTGGCACACTTCCAACCACTGAAAAGTCAGTGAAGAGCAGTTACTATCACTGGAACACGAAGCATAGCTAGAAAATTAGCATCCAAGAAAACGGACTGTCTCAAGCTGGGGGGTCACAGGAAACGGTGAGTGAAACAAAGGAAACCGGTGCTTCCTTCCCCCTCTTCTCCCTTCAGAATGTTAATGTCGCCCCTCCCAGAGCAGCAGGACCAATCAGTACCCTGCCTGCCTCCACCAGGGCTTTTTTACTTTAGAAAGCTGACACAGTGGGACGCCTGGGTGGCTCAGTCGGTCAGGTGTCCGCCTTCGGCTCAGGTCATGATCCCAGGGTTCTGGGATCAAACCCCGCATCGGGCTCCCTGCTCAGCGGGGAGTCTGCTTCTCCCTCTGCCTCTCTCTCACTCTCGCTCTCTCTCAAATAATCTTATAAAAAATTGGCAAATAAATAATAAACACAGAACCTGAGGTCAGGAGAGGAGGTCATTTCCTTGAAATTCCTACATGAGGGACAGTAGAGCTCAAATAAGTCTAAAACATGAAGGATCCCATGTGCGTAAACATGTAAAGTTCTAAAGCATTAAACACACCTAGTAAAACTCGTTTAAACAAAATCCTACTATGCAGCAGTTCTGAATGAAGTATAAATAATGTCAATTTCATTGAAGGTTAAATGTCAGGTACATGCCAAGTACCCTACAGAAGTTTGATCATCTAATTCTATTCAACACCCTTCAAAATCAATATCCCCAACCCCACTATCAAAGGGAAAAACTGAGGCCCAGAAGTAGCCTGCCTTCCCCTACAACCACACAGAATGGGAAGGCAGCACAGGCATATTGAACAAGACTAGAGCACCTGCCTCTGTCCACACAACAGACCTAACGGGAGATGCTAATGTAGCCCAAAGAACATTCCAGCCACAAAGGTGACAACCAAAGACTGGTAAAAGTTGTGTTCCCCTAGAAGCAGACTCTGAAACAAAGGTTTGAATGTAAATGACTTGTTTAGGAGGTGATCCCAGGAAGCACTGGAGAGAAGGAAGACTGGAAAGGGCAGGAAGCCAGTCCAGGTACGTCAACAAGCAGACGACCACCATGGGCAACTGGGGCTCAGTCCAGTTGGGGACCTCCACTCGAGGGGTCAGGGTCCAGGGTATTTATCCACCCACACCACAGTCACTGGTTGAGGGCTGTTCCAGGAGGACAGGAGGGAGCATTAACTCCATGGCATTTCTCACTGTCCCATGCACAGGCCTGCATGGCCTCAGCAGGCAGAGAAAGCCCTCAAGCAAAGAACTGCGGGTGCTTGCCACTGAGAGGCAAGGGGTGGGGTTGAGCTCAGGGGTATGGGCTGGCCATGCTCAACCTCTACAAAGGTACAGATACTTTTAGAAAGAATTTTGAGCTTAGTTTTAATCATAGGCATCTGGTAAAAATATATATAACTGCCAATTCAGAGAAGGGGTAGAAATGTAAATATTCCTTTAGCCAGTTTTAAGGGGTAAAGTTCCATTTCGCTATCTGACACTCACCTCGGAGGAATCCTGACTCCATTGTCCAACTGGGTAAGGTTATTGGCATATTTGGATACCGGCAATTCATTTTCCCATGTGTCTGGGTCCTGCTTTCTATATGGAGATTTTGAGCTGAGAACCGCATCACAAGCAATTGTTACCTGTAAGACAAACCCAGATGTCATATGTAAAAACAGTTTGAGAGAATAGAAACTTCTAGAAAAGAAGTTTAAAAGTTCGTTAATAAATACAGCCTGATCCAAGAAAATTCAGACAGCAGTGACCATAAGAGCAAGATCCTAGTTAGCTGATTCCAGCATTTTCTCCATGAATCTAGCTAGGGTTTGGCCCTAACCTAGAGTGTGCAGTATTGACAATGATACAAGATAGCAAGGAGCCCAATCCAGTCTGTAAACCCAAGCAGATGAGTCAGATTTAACAATTTCTTAGCAAGCAGAGTAAAAAGTACTCAGTGAATGATTTACAAGAGTGAAATTAGCTATAGGAATGCCTAGGATTTACCCAAGTGGTATGTTTTCCTCCTAACAAATATACACCCAGATATCCAATATCCTCAACTCATCACACAATGGCATGAGGTCAAGGGCATTTGAATGGAATGCAAGCAGCATGGCTCCATTTCTTAATCTGGTGCAAATGTGACCCTGGACAGGGACATGCCTAGGTGTCTCTGTGCCAGGTCAGTCAACATCATGAGCAAATCTGTGATGTCCAGCTTGGCACCAACTGACCACAGGGGAAGGGGGTGCAAATTCTCTGCTTTCTCCTAAACTCGATTAATCCGGCACATATGCATATCACCACATTTGCTATTTGCTTAATGCTATAACAACTATTTCTAGCTGTCTTTAAAAACATATTCTGGTGTGGGGCGCCTGGGTGGCTCAATCGTTAAGCATCTGCCTTCAGCTCAGGTCATGATCCCAGGGTCCTGGGATCAAGTCCCCCATCGGGCTCCCTGCTCAGCGGGAAGCCTGCTTCTCCCTCTCCCACTCCCCCTGCTTGTGTTCCCACTCTCTGTGTGTCTCTCTCTGTCAAACAAATAAATAAAATCTTAAAAAAAAAAAACATATTCTGGTGGGAATGTAAAATGGGGCAGCCACTTTGGCAAACAGTTTGGCAGTTCCACAAATGGTTAAACTGAGTTACCGTATATATAACCTAGCAATTTGACTCCTAGGTATACATCCAAGAAAAATGAAAATATGTGCCCATGCAAAAACTTACATACAGATGTTCACAGAACATTATTTAGAATAGCCAAAAAGCAGAAACAACCCCGATGCCCATTAATGACAAATGGATAAATAAAATGTCTTATGTCCACATAATGAAATGTTATTCAGCAATAAAAAGGAAGTCCTGATACATGCCACAACATGAATGAACCTTGAAAATAAATACACGCTAAGTAAAAAAGTCCAGCCACAAAGAACTATGTATAATGTATGATTCCATTTATATGAAATGTCCAGAATAGGCAAATCCATCGAGACAGAAAGTAGATGAGTGATTGCCAGAGGCTGAAAGGGATGACAGGTGAAGGGGTGATGAGAATATTCCACAAGGAGATGGTGGCAATGGATGCCCAACTCTGAATACAACAAAAGCCACTGGATGGTTTAAAAAAGTTTTTAAACCAAGGTTTGTATTCTACATCCCTAACATCCTGCACAATTAGCTGAACTTCATGCAGAGTGTTTTCCCCTGGGTAGCCCTAGAACTCATTAAGAGACCATGAAGGGAGCTCCCTCAGCTGCCGTCCCCCGCCCACCCAGCCCATGAGCAATTGCTCTCACTGCTGCATCCAGAATGTTTGGAACCTTCCTCTTCTCAACTTCAGTCACACTCGTCTTGGTCCCAGCCACTAACACAGCTCACCCAGACGGCCACACAGCAGCCTCCTTGCGCGTTCCTTTCTCCCACGCCTGCCCCCTCCTCTGCACAGTAGCCAGACTGGTCTGCTGGGAATATCACATCCTCTCCTGCTGCAGCTTAAAACTCTCCAAGGCACTACCGACGGATGGCACTGAGCAAGGCACAGTCAGGAATAAGGAAGAGGTCTCTGCCCTCAGAAAGCTTACATCCCATGACACGCCAGGCATCCATAAATATATTTACACCTTTTAAAAGAGATAGTCCCACTCATCTCTCACCACAAGCACTTTTAGACAATTAGCCTTTCCTTTCAATTTTCAAAGTTAATCTCCCACTTCCTTCCAGAAGTGCCCCTAGAAAACAGGGTTGAGGTCACCACAAACCCCCTCCTGATCCTCCGGGTTTTGGCCGCCTTAGCACTCGGGCTACACATCCCAAGCTTTTCAGTCTGGTCTGTTATTACAATCTCCTGGTTGCTTCAATGACTATCTCAGTCTCTTCTCTGTCCTCCTCTGAATCTTCTCCGCAGTGCACAATAAAGTTGATCAAGATTTGAATACAATATTCTCTCTTCTCTTTGAATATACTTCTTGGTGACACTCAACAAAATTTCCTCAAATTTCTGGGCCACTACGAAATACTGATCTAGTGTTTTCAGAGTATCATCTGAAATCACTTAGCGGCCCTTCATATGGATCATAGCTGAAGATCAGGATCTATTATCCTATAATTATGGCATGAATTGCCTTTCCCTGGATTTGTTGTCTAGAGTGAAGAGAAAAAAAAAACTTGGTACTAGTCTTGGCTCCATCCCAGGCCTCATAGGCCTCAAATTCAGTAGTGTTCTGGAACTGACTCAAACTGGCTCACAGAATTGATTGTTAAGTTTTAAGGAATTCTGCAAGATGGTTGTTAAACACGGCCATTACTGAAAATTAAATTATAAAAATTTACAATCAAGTAAAATATATATATATATATATATTTTTAAGATTTTATTTATTTATTTGAGACAGAGAGAATGAGAGACAGAGAGCATGAGAGGGAGGAGGGTCAGAGGGAGAAGCAGACTCCCTGCCGAGCAGGGAGCCCGATGTGGGACTCGATCCAGGGACTCCAGGATCATGACCTGAGCCAAAGGCAGTCGCTTAACCGACTGAGCCACCCAGCCGCCCCAAGTAAAATATATTTTTAAAAAGTAACAAACACTCAAAACTCTTCACTTCCTGTTCTACTACACTTTACGAGTTTCTGTGTGCTCTTGAGGTTATTTACGTTTACGTTATGTGACTGGCAGGAATTCTATATAATGGTATGCTAATGTAGACTCTCTTTTCAACACTGCTTTCGAGACATCTGTCAGTCTGAAATCAGCCCCGGTGGGAATATTTACACCACGGAAATCACCAAACACTACAAAGCAGGCCTTTCCCCCAGGGAGCTGGTTGCTAAATATTTACAAGCACACCATTGCTAGAGTTCCTGATGTCTAAAATGAGGCGTTGGATTTCGGGCCATAAGATCCCTACTGAGCTCCAAATGCTATGTCTCTGCAAACTCCACATCACTGAGAAGTGGTTTAACTTTCTGGTAGAATCCACAGAGTTCTTATCTGAAACAGAATTTTTTCTGAGCTGAGAAGCTCAAAAGATGAAGGAAGAGTCCTCTGGTTGGGTGATTTTCGGCTCAACAATTTTTGTTATTTAAAAGCTTAAAAAAAGAGTCTGCCTTCGGCTCAGGTCATAATCCCAGGGTCCTGGGATCAAGCCCCAGGTCGCGCTCTCGGCTCAATGGAGAGTCTGCTTCTCCCTCTCCCCCTGCTCAGTCTCTATCTCGCTCTCTCTCTCTCTCTCACACACACACACACTTGCTCACTCACTCTCTCTCAGATAAATAAATAAGTAAATAAATAAAAAAAATCTTTCAAAGCTTAAAACGAGAATATCAAACACCAAAAAATGTAGCAGAAGCATGAAAAGATAGGAACCAGCACCTGATATATAAATAAATCCTATCAGTTACCATCAGATAAACCCAAGCTTTTCCTTCAATTTCTCCACCCCAACTTTCAAATAATTCTCCCTCTCCTTCTTTAGAAAATTTTTATGTATTTCTTGATGCTAAAAGACCGTATTAAAAATTATAACATATATTGAGGGATTCAGATTTCTATGACTCTTCACTTTTATTTAAATAAAAGTATTCACACTTTGAATTATATTCTGAATATAGGAATAATTAAAAAACACTTAAAGGCTCCATTAACTTTTTCACATAAAGGCTTCTCCTTCATAAGTGAGAGAAAAATCATTTCTCGTGACATTTATTCACAGTGTGCTTCTTTATTTCTTTTCTGACAGCAGACGTAAGAGTTATATTAAACAAGGGCAGGCAGCAAGAACTCTCAGTATCATGGAGATACAAGCTTTAGTATATAATTTCAGGTAATGGGACGAGGTAAGACCATTTTGCCCACTCATACATTTTATCCTTGGTAACGGCCACATGAGTCAACACAGGGAACTGGAGAAAGGAGAGGTAATTTAATTCTCTATGCACTGCTAAACACTGTGCACTTAGCACTAAAAAAGGATATGTCACGTATAATAATTAGAGGAAAGAGCAACAGTAGCTAAATACACAACATTTTCATTTCTATGGTCTTATATTTAGGTAGAAAGTAGGTCAGGGGCAAAAGAGGTTGAATGGTAGAAACCTGGTCTCTAATGACATGGGAACCCCAAGCACAAACACACCCCCCCTCCTGGCAGAAGCAAGTGAGCAGGTGGCTGTAGATACAAAGTCACACAATGTCCTGAGGATTCCCAGACCTAAACACCTGGCTTTTGTTCTGGGGGAGTGCGGGGAGGGAAGAAGGGAGCTAGCATGTCTAAACTCCATGGACCCTGACCCTCCTGCTCCCGGGGGCCAGGCTCTGAGAAGTCAGGGTGTGCACAGAGTGGGAAAGAGGAAAAGAAAGGGAAAAGAACAAAGGAGAGAAGGATGGGGTGGGAGAGACAATACAGGACAGGAGGAAAGAACAGGAAAAATGCTTGGGTCCTTATAGGAGCTCCGCGCCTCCTTACGGGATCAAAGTACAACAGAACGTGGCTTCCTCACCTCCCTTGCCACCCCCAGCTTCATGTCATTCAGGAAGGTGAATGTTGCTCCACGAAAATCAAGGGAAGGGAAGAGAAAAAAAAAATTCACCACTAAATCTAAACGCTAAAACCTAGAAAGTAGTTTTAGTCTTCATGAGGAACAAAACTTTCAAGGAGTCTCACATTACCACGGAGCTCCTGCAGACCTGTGATTTGTAAACGTTTAGTTATTTTTATAACCGTGTTGCTGTTGCTTCGGCAGAGAAATCCTTATTTTTCCCAAACAAAATCTCACGTGGAAGGCTAATATGCAGAAGAGATAAAAATATAGCCATTCCTCTGATCAGAAGACACCCCTCTCCAACAGCCCCTGTACATCTCAGGGGCACAGTGTGAAAATCTAAGGGACAGACTGTGAGTTACAAGGGGCAAGAAGCCAGCCCACCGAGGGGAGGCCAGCCCACTGTGGTGGAGGGGGCAGCCCACCATGGGGAAGTGGGGGAGGCCAGGCCACAGGGGAGAGACCAGCCCAATGTTTATATACTTAGAGGCCCACACAGCAATGGAAAAAAAACGCGCAGGAGAGGGTATCTGGCCGAACTCTACTAAAACCTCACCCTGCAAGACCCTTTCACAGAGAAGAAGCAATATGCTCATGTTCGTTCTCGTTCTTCTCCTCCTCTCATTCAACCTGCCTTCCCCACCCCCCGAGTGCATGCACACGCACACGCACACGCACACACACCTGACACAGAGAGTCACGCGCATCTAGCTAGCAGCCGTGCACACTCACTGACCAGGGCTGGTAACTCCTCAATATTTGGCAGTGCTATTTCATAGTGGTCTGGGAATATAACAAGTTTGGCTTCATCTTCATATTCATAATCGTCGCTATTTAAATCGTCATCAGTATCTAGATCTGAGGAAAAAACAAAAACAAAGAACAAGAAGTGAAGAGAGAACATTCTACACCAAGGCAGGACTCACTGCAAAAGCCAGAGATCCACAGGAATGACAAACCAAGAGCATGACATTTACGATTCCCTCCTCTGACAACCATCCGTCTGCCCCAAACCAGGAGTAAAAGGCCTACTATCTTTCCTAAGTTATGAATACTTACGAATAAGTGACAGATGTGTACAGACTGAGACTGATCACACAGCTTTACAATTAAAATAGACACACGTGCTAGATATTCAATTTGTAAAGACTTTTAAAGGAGTAAATGGTTCATTCTGATCTGTTGGGCACCTGGCTCCTGACTGCATAAGAAATGGACTGAAATGTTTTTCACAACACTGTAATATGGAAGAAAGTACGGGGTTTCAGCATACATAAACCAAGGTTCAATTCCAGCTCCAAAATTTAATGTAACTTTGAGCAAGTCACAAAGTCTCTAATCCTTAGTTTCCCCATTTGCAGAATGGAGATAATATCTCTTATCTCACAAAGCTTATACGAGGAATAAATAAGAAATTGTCGACAAGAGACCCGGTACATAATAGGTAGTCAATAAGTGATAGCTACTATTTAAAAACAAAATCTCAATCTCTCTCTCTCTGTCTCTGTCTCTCTCTCCCCATCCCCCTCTAGGAGTTATTAAGATACTGTATCATAAATTAGAGGGGAAAACCCCATAATATAAGTAGTCCTGTTGTCCTCAGGCTGTGCAGAATTTTCAGTAAGAAAACTGAGCTCCTCTAGCCTGCTATGTATCAAGTCATCACCTGTTTGCTTGGCTAATCTCTGGTGAAGGTTAAGTGAAGGCTCAAGGAAATGTCTTGTCACAATATTTACATGGACATGTCAGCCTTACATTCACATGGATGCCAGCATCCCAGATTAGGTTTGTATATTTAGATGTTTGGAACTATGGTGACAAGGAGCTATTGAGCCATATTCCACTCACATCACACATAAACAGGTACACAAACACAGGTCTGTAGACAGACAAAAGTTATTTTCCTAGACGAAGCAACCACCTGAGAACCAAAGGATCTAGGTTCTGTTATTACCTTGTTGTTTGCCTCCAACCAAAAACCTAGTATCTTTTTGTGTACAGTTCTGCTCCTGAATTCTCAAAAGGAGACAGTGGAAAATGAGATACAAGGAAAACACGGTCTCAACAATTTAATAAAAGATTCCAAATAATAAGAATCAGAAATGCCAAAATAAATAGCCAACATTATTAGATAGCATAATAGGTCAGTTTGACAAAAGGCAATGTTAAAGATGATTCTAAGAGTTTAAGAAGTCGTTAAAAGCGTTATTTGCTAGATGGGATGCTGTCCAATTCATGAATCATGTAATAAAAGCAATTAGATCTTCAATTTTTTAAAAAAGTAACAAAAGGCATTTACTTAAAGGAAATGGTTCAAATAAAGACAGACATTCTATATGTCATAAAAATTTGAATGCCCCAATACCTATAATTTTAAAAATCAGAACCTAAATGTTCAATGAGAATGGTGTTCAACCCAGTAGAGTATTATTTAAATGATACTTATTTAGATTATGTAGAAACATGGAAATATTTATGCTATGTCAATGTTAAAAATACAAAATTCATCTTCACTGTAAAGACAACTTTGTAAAAGTTATGCTCATAGATGAGAAACAGAAGGAAATCCGACCAAATGAAAATAGTGAGTGTATGAGCATTTTTCTAGTCTTAAATTTTTATTATATCTTTTATAACAAGTTTAAGGAACGGAAGTACAACTCTTGTTTTTGTGTACAGATTCGGCTCATATTACATATTATCTCAGCTTCTCTTGTCCACAGAAAACACACTCACTTAATACTAAGTCAAGTCTTACCTGGCCAGACACAATGATAAACTATGTCTAAAAAAATCCCGCTCTGTCATTTACTAACTATGCAACCCTGGGCAAGGTCTTTCCGAGTTTACTTTCCTCAGGAGCACGCTATGAATAATATCTGCCCCCACAAGATTGCTGCGAGGATTAGACAAGATAAGGTTTTAAGGCATCTGGTACAGGATCTGGCAGGTGTTGGGGCTCCATAGAGAGCGGCCACCATCACCACCATCACCCCCTTCCGTACACTCCTGACAACCAACATAATCACAAGTGCCCTCCCCTCCCTTTGGCTCATCCCAGGGATCCTGCTCTGTGATCTCAGGATGGAGAACATATGAACTTCAAAGGCTTCTAGACTGTAAACTGTCGGTGCAGGAAACGGATCTTGTTCACCTTGCATATGCCCAGCCCCCGCACAGTACCCAGCACACATCACTCACGCACTAAGTATCAATGAAAGGAGACCTCAAGAACTTAAAAACCCCAATATGCTAGGGACAACAGCAAAGCAGCATTCTCCAAAGGGTGGTTGTGGGTTTGGGGGTTTTTTAATTGGTAACAGGTATGTGCTTAAAAATAAGCACAACTGCTGTTGTGTAAAAAAGCAAGAACTTTGTTGGGCTTCTTTATACTCCATCTATAGTTGCTTTTATTTTTATTTTTGATTCAATGGGGTAGAAGGGGACCGTGATCCTTCCCAAACATCTTTATCCAAATTAAGGAAAAGTCACAGAAGTAAGTTACGCTCTGGTTTTAAGGGACAAATCTAAGATTTCTCCTAAATATATATGACCTCACAATCCTAAGTATAAATCTGTAAGTTCTAAATTTCCCTAATTAGAGTCTTACCACCCCAAAAATATCTAGTTGAGGAACCTACAGAGAAATTATACCCTAGGGACCAGTAGGACTAGGACCTCCCAACCTCTCCCAGCAGCTACTTTCCACTATGGCTATTAACTTGCAGTACCTGAATGGACTCTTTTTCTAAATTTAAAAAAATGTTTTTAATAATCTCTTCCCAATTCAACTTCAGGGATCCTCTCAGATACCTGGGAGAATTGGCTGGTACCACAGCCATTTCCAAAAAGCATCTCACTTAAGCTGAGAAGCAGCACCATGGAAGAAAAGACCCTTAAATCAAACCAGGACTCGGACACCCAGCTCAGAGTTCTCCCCAGCCTGACCAGATTGACTAATCTGTGTGCTCAAGGTGAGAGAAATCTGGCTGATCCAATGCCGTGAAATCTGACCAGCCATTTACCCTCACAAGAAGGTATGGGGCAAACCTCCTTGAACACAGACCCTGGTCTGGGACCTACTTCAGAGGGAAGTGGCAAAATGGAGTTTACTAGAACCTTCTGGCCCTTATATATACAGCTGAGTTTCCTGAACAGGCCCATTCCTAGAACTTTCCACAAATGCTCTGTTTTCAACCCATTTCTCATCAAGTATGAATGCTAGGGCTAAAACCAAAAAAGTGGAAATCTAACTCTCTGAGTTTTAGTGGTGGTTCTTCCATGTCCGAGACTTCAGACACGAAAGAACTTGACTCCTTTACTCCTATTTCTGAAAGTTGGTGGGAAGGTGGGGAAGCCAATAAAAATGTGAATATTTAACACTGTTTTAATGACATACCAAAGATCTGCACTAAATGCCTTAGCAGTTATTTACACATCTATACACATTTGTAGCTTGACTGTAAAAAATATGTAAGATTAGGCCAGAACCACATCACGAGTCCTGGGGTATTTCTTTGAAGATCCTGGACTCCCTAATATCCACCCCCCTTCTCTCCTTCCATCTCATAAAACAGTAAGTTTTGTATTAGCTGAGTCTAAAAATTCACAATCTCCCCTATCGGTGTAAGTTACCCTTTAAAAGATAACCTAACAGTGTCCCTCTCTAGCTTAAAAACATTGACACAGAGCTACCCACTTCCTCAGTGCACAGCGGCCCTAAGCCAGAAGAAATGCCCAAAAGCTCTGTTTGTTTAGTAGTTGGGTCCAAACAACTTAATAAGTATTTATGTTCTAATGACTTAGACCATTTGAAAAAAATAATATACATAAATGGAAAGGCAGAAATGTTTTATTTCACTCTTAAATCACCACAATCCCTTGCTAATGGGATGTGTGTCCCTGTTGGACACTGCACAGCTTCTTTCTGAATCAAATGGAACACAGCCTCCCTCATGTCCCGTTCCACATTTATTTTTCACATGGCACCTGCCTTTTACCATAGAAACCACCAAAAAATCTGCTCCACAAAGAGGTGAAGTCACTGAAAGGAATTCAGAATTCTCCGATAGTAAAACTACGCCATGCTAATAGTTCATGCAATGTTCAAGTATCACTGCTGTTCCCTTGAAGTGTTAAAATACCCTGTGGTGCACCTGTGAGTTCACTGTAGCACCCTTGGGTGCCTCAGAGCACAGTTTGGAAACTAAGTGTTAATGGTCCCAACTGCCTAGAGGAAAAAAGTCTAAAAGCATGGTATATATTATACTATGGCTGGAAGAATATACAAGATATATAAGAATGTGCAAATAGAAAATACTATTTGTCTCTGGGGAGAGTAACCAAGTAAGCTAGGAGGCAGAGAAGCGAAAAAGACTTACTTTTCATTATAGAGCCCCTTATAACTTTTCAATTTTAAGCTTTGTCCAAAAACCATTGTTGTAAAAATGTTTTTTAAATACTAAGTATAAAAAGTATAAAATTAAGTGATTCAAAAATTAATAATTGTCATTGTTGATTTAAACACACACACACACACACCCACACACACACCAGCAAGAGCTAGAGCTGAGGGAAGAATCCTTAACTGTGACTTCACCTGAATGAACATCAAGGTAATCAGGAAGAGTGACTTGAATGTTGAGGGGCAAGATGGTGCTCCAGAGACTTGGGTAGGCCATTCAGCACCAGCTCAGTTTCCCTTATAGAATCAATAGTGAAGGTCATATAGAATGATTCAGTGGGTTCAATGTTCACTGTTGAGCCAGTGAAAAAGGAATTGGTCACGAAGTCATGAAGTGACTGGGGAAAAAGAAGCTTCTATCCAAGAGAAAGCATTAATCAGCTACATCTATTTTGTGAGGGGAAGATGGGCATCGTGATGACATTTTAATAGCAATGAGAAAAATGCTTTTTAGTCAAAGAAACAAAGAGACTACAAGAGAGTTCTGAGTTCTCTTCCTCTCCAAGAAGAGACAACCCCAACATCCCTTTTAGGGAAGGAGTATGTGGCAGAGGCTACAAGCTGCCTCCCAGTAGCCACTCTCCCCTTCTTCCTCAAACAGACTTTACTCAATGAAGCCGGTTAATAAACTTAATGTACTTTTCAGTCTCCTGTACAGCACAAGGTACGACCACGTGACCAAGTCCTGACCAGAGAGGTGTAAAGTGAAGTGTTGTTTAGGGATCTGTGAGAAGACTGACAAAAGGAAGATGATGACTCCACAGGGAGACTAGGTATTTTTTTTTGTCCTTCCCCCCTTCCTCTTTGCTCTTTCTGGGATGGCGATGTAATGGGGGGAGTTCCAGAAGCCATTTTGTACCATGTAGTGACCATGAAGTTAGAATCACACGGCAGGATGGAAGGTGAAGCAGTCTAGATGGAGGGGAAGAGTCTAGATCCTGATGAACATGAGGCCATCACATCAGCCTGGACTTGCTGCTTCCCGATATCCTCTACATGAGAGACAAATAAACATCTACCTTATTTAAAGTCACCAATATTTTAACTTTTCTGTTGCATAAGCCAGATCTAAGCCTAATATGGTACTTCACTTGAATGTACAGGCCACATCAGCTTGAAAACACCTGTGATCAGTGTAATCAGAGAAAAGTGACTGCTCCTAGGGGACATGAAGCATCATATCGAGGGAACTGTAAATCTGGGCTTGCAAAACCAAATACTTACTGGGATGAAGCAGCCAACATCAATGTGTGACGTATCTGGGTAACAAACAATAGAGAGGAACAGGGCCTGAGGCAAGCCCCAAAGTACCAATGGTGTTTACATTTAAATTTTTTTAAAAACTGGTGGAGTCCAAACAGAATATATTTGCTGGACTGTAACTTTTGGGTATGTTCTGTGGTTTTCTAAGATATGGAATGTTGAGTGAACACAGACGGCAGCCTATAGAAATAGACGGCAGAAATGGAACAGTAGGTTAGCATTCCCAAGAAGCAATGGAAGAGGTCCACACAGTGTGAAGCACAAAACCTCAGTGTTTACTTTTAGATTAATTCTTAAAATAGTTACTTTACTATATCCTCTACCACCAAAGTGATCACTAGAGAAATCAAAGGTCTTTGGGGCGCCTGGGTGGCTCAGTCGTTAAGCGTCTGCCTTCGGCTCAGGTCATGATCCCAGGGTCCTGGGTTCGAGCCCCACATCAGGCTCCCTGCTCGGCAGGAAGCCTGCTTCTCCCTCTCCCACTCCCCTTGCTTGTGTTCCCTCTCTCGCTGTCTCTCTCTCTGTCAAATAAATAAATAAAATTAAAATCTTTAATAAAAAAAAAAACTGCAAGGTCTTTAAGCAAAAGACACAAAGGTTAAAGGACAGGAGGCCAGCTGACTTCTCCATTCAGCCAAAGAGAAAAATGAAAAATAACACCAGTAATTCAAAATGTTTAATTATTTCCACCTTTGAAAATGCCATGTTGATGCCATTTAATTCAGAAGTCACATCATCTCTATTCATAGAAGGGAGCCCAAGGCTAATAACCAAAGCATCAGATTGCACCCAATCATTTCAGCTTTGAGGCCCATTCTGAGCTGGTCTGGGTTTGGTTGGTTGATTTGGGTTGTGGTTCAAAGACCACAGAGAGGTGGGAAAGATTGGCCAGGGTGGAAAAACCAACTGTAGATAAGCCTCATAAAGAAAACCACGACTGAAAACCAGGACAGAAAACAACAAGCACAAGTCCAGTGTAGAATAATGGAGACTCAATAATGGAGACTCAAAGCAGGAAGGACACTCAGCTCCATGACGGTTTCCAATGGCTTAACTTTTCAAATAATTAATGTGTCTTTTCATTACAACAGTAACACATGTTTGTTATAGAAAAAATTTAAACCAGATAAGCAAAAAGAAGAAAATAAAAATCACCTCAATCCCATCACTAGGAAAGAGCTACAATATTAACAATCTGGAATATATTTTGCCAGACTCTTCTGGACTCTCACTTATACATGTATACATACATGTAAACATATGTATACACATATGTATACATACATGTAAACACATACATACACACATACACATGTGTATAGATTTTTTTTACCAAAATGAAATCATAACATGCAAATGATTTTGAAGTTTCTTTCAAACCATAATCCTAGGCATTTAGGGATATAAACTTGCTTGGTCAGAAATTATCAAGTCCCTTTTTCTCCTGGCAAAAGCATTTCAGAAGTTTAATATGAAAAATGAGCATGATGACATGATACAGAAACTGGTACTCATTTGGCTTTTCTGAATGAGGGAGAAGAAAATCACTGCTAGGCACACACCACAGTAATCACTGCTGCAGGCAAGATCCACAGGCAGATGATACAATTAGTGTGCAAAGCTTTGAGGAGAAACAAGATATTAGCATAGTCTCCAAGTATTACTCCCAAAGTATTCATTAATTACACTGTATCTTCACAGTGGAGAAACCCAGCCAACACCACCTCACCAAGGGATCAAGGTTACAGCACCAATATGAAGACATCTCAGCATCACAGGCCCCCCAGTATCATGCACTGAGGAGGCCACATCGCCTCTGTGGTTTCTTGCCAAAAATGCATTACCTCAGATTTTGGAGGAAACACCAGACGAACCTGAACTGAGGAACATTCTACAGAATAACTAGCCAGTACTCTTGAAAAGTGTCATGATTATTAAAGACAAAAAAAAAAAAAAAAAAAAAAAAAAACCTGAGGAACTATCAAAGATTAGAGAGGATTAAAAAAAAAATGACAACTAAATACAACATGGGATCCTAAAAAAAAGGACATTAGTGGGAAAAAATGGTGAAATCTGAATAAAGTCTGCAGCTGGGCTAATATTAAAAAAAGAAATAATGTCTCTATTTTCAAGGCAGTGAAAAAGGAGAGCAGAAGCAGTATCATAATTACTCTGCAGTCACTGTAAGTATAACTGCTTCAGAACACTAAACCCAACTCTAAGAGTGCTAGAAGCATCCTTCGCCACTAGGTAAACACAAAGCGGAGGCAGATAATCGCAAGTTAAACGGGTTCCTCTTATCATTAAATTGTAGAGCAATAAATAACCTATTATTCCAAACCAAATAAGCATGTGCACATACACACACACAGAAAATCTGGGCACACTATTGATAACTATTTACATTACCTAAAAAAATCTTGGAATTCCTCCGTTTTGGTAAAGCTCCACCAGATGCCCCTCTTACCTTCTGAAAAGAAAACAAGAGATTGTTAAAATGCAGACTATAGAACAGACAATGGGGAAAGAGTGGGGAGAATACATCTCACAAGTTCTCGGATTTTACAAAAGGCCAAGATGAAATTCTCAACCTGGACTAGAGATCCAGGATAAACCAGAACTTGACCAGGTCAATGGAGGTAGGTGAAGGGCAATGCTATTGTTCTACCTGATTATTTTCACCAAGTTATCAAGACAGCACTTCTGGAAAGGGAAAGGAACCAGGGATCAAGGTGAACTAGACATTTCAACTTCGAATCAGCATATACTCCCAAGAGGCTGGAGTCCATGCCCAATGCTGGAACTACTCTGGAGAGATGATGGTGACTCCTGGAGAGAAGGCTCTTATTCCCTTATCCCCCTGCTACCCACTGGGTCCCTGTGCTTGGTCCTGGGCATGCACAACAATCACTGTTGAAAGAGCAAATAAATACTGATAAGCAGTCGCTGATATTTTGGTCATATTAAATCTCAGTCTAACCTCCCTGAACATTTCTGGAGCACCAACTAATGGCTAGTTGCCATCTGAGGCTTCGTGGATTTTCTACCTCTGGTAGAAGTCTGTGGCAGCAATGAAATAAATGCCCATCAAGTGGTTAAGCTAAAGAAATAATTCGTTACCCTTCCGACACACACAAAATTTTACCCTCAAATAGGATTATAAAAATTTTTGTTTCGGGCACCCGGGTGGCTCAGTCAGTTAAGCGTCTGCCTTCAGCTCAGGTCATGATCTCAGGGTCCTGGGATGGAGCCCCGCATCGGGCTCCCTGCTCAGCGGGGTCTGCTTCTCCCTCTCCCTCTGCTGCTCCCCCTTCTTGTGCTCGCTCTCTCTCTCAAATAAATAAAATTTAAAAAAAATTTTTTTGTTTCAAAGGGCCCAAATCGTATTTCTACACTGTTTGTCCTCTCGGTGATTAGAAAAGAGCACATTTCCAGCACACCATGGCATGAGGGTCAAAGCCCAGCATCTTCCCAAGTAGCCACGTGTTGTGGCAGCATCAAGGCCTTGCTGCTGCTTTAGTTTGTTCCCTTACCAGTCTTAAGTCTCCTTTGCCACACTTTATTATTTGGCATTGAAGGCTGACTCATCTTTGTGATTCTCACATTAAGTTTTTACAACTTCTACTATAAGTTTATAGTTTACATCTTAAGCATGTGAAAATGATTGAACACTTTAGCTCAAAACCTGTCTCTCCAAATACTCATGCCAAATTCTTGTCCCCTCTCTTGGAATCCCTCTCCTCCAAGGTCTCCGAGCCACTGTTCCTCTCCCCCACGTGCCTGTCTCAAAAAAGGGATGAAATAAAACCTGTACCAAAGGCATATTTAGCAGTCCTGGAGGTCACTTGAAATCTCTCTACCAAAGTTTATGGCATGCTTTTAATTGTTCCAACCTCACTGGCTCCTCCATTCCTGCAGGATGGTGGAGGGAGAAAGAAGGAGAGGGGCTGCATGAAGACCTGTTAGACTACGAGGCTCTCCCTGATTCTGCCATTCACACCTTAGACTTGGGAGTAGATTTGCTTCCTTTCAGGAAAAACAAAAACAAAAAAACCCACTAGGTTTTCCTTCCAAAGACCATCGCCTCTGTGCCTGCTTCAGTCTCCACTAGAAATCAACAGGGTTTGAGAAACGGGAACTCCTTGGTCAGCAAACATGAGTGTGCCCATGGCTCAGGCTCTGTGATGGCACTGAGGCTGCAAAGTAGATGAAGACATGGTCCATCCCTTGAGCAGCCCATCAGCAAAGTAGGGGAGGATATATACAAACAAATAGCTCAATAGATTCTGGTGAGTATTAAGAGATATGTGAAAAAGGTAGGATCATAAGAAGGAAATGACAGTTCTGGAGGTGGAGATTGTGGGCAGGTAAGAAGAGCAGCAGGTCTGGCATTTAGCAACTGCTCGACAAATATTTGTTCAATGGATGGATGGATGATGGATGGATAGATGGATGAATAAACAGATGAATGGATGGACAGATGGATGGATCGATGGATGATGAATGGATGGATGATGGATGAATGTGTGAATGGATGGATGATGGATGAATGTATGAATGGATGGATGATTAATGGATGAAGGAAGGAAGGAAATAAGGAAGGAAGAAAGGAACAGGTAGATAAATGGATGGATGGATGGATGGTGGATGGATAGACAGATGATGGATAGACAGATGGATATGCTGACCACAGGGAATACAAGTATGAGAGGAATGAGACATCCCAGAGAGAAAAGACAAACAGCATGTACAAAGGTATGAAATCATAGTGTATTTCATGAAGAAGTGGTTTGATATATCTAAAGCACAAAGTTAGTGGAGTAAAAGTAGAGTCAGAAAGGCTAGAAGGGGCCAGATTATGGAAGGCCTTGTAATCACATGCAAAAAAAGAAAAAAAAATTTGGACTTCAACCTGCAACAAAGGGAGATACCAGAGATTTAAGCTTCAGAGTCCCACAGATGCACAGATACATGCATCTGAAAAGATCACTCTGGGGGCAGCATGCACACTGGTTGGGATGCAAGGAGGCAAGTTTGAAGGAAAGATTACTATGGAGAGGACAGGATGGACTTCAGAGCCATTTGGGAGGTGCAGATAACCAGACTTGGGTCACCAACCAGCCATGGAATGAAAGAAATATCCAAAAGATTTCTAGGTCTCTAGAATTCAAGATGAAGGACAACTCTGAGAAAGAGGATTATTCACTGAGTCTGGGCACACTGAGCTCGAAGTACCTATGAGGTGTTCAAGTAGGAAAAGTCACATCAGAGTCAGATGGTCAGATCTTTGGCTCTGGAGAGACACTGATTAGGAAGTCATCGGTTCAGAGACAGTGGTTAAACAAGGAAATGGACAACACTGATGAGGAAGAGTAGCTTTCAGAGAAAGATGGTCAAAAGGCAACCTGGGAAGTGTGGATATTTAAGGAATAAATGAATGAAGAGATGCTAGTGAGACAAAGTCAGAAAAGGCAGCCTAAAAAAACAGGAGGAAGCCAGGAAAGAATGGTGCCAACGAAAGCAGGAGAGGAGCAGTTCCAAGAGGGAAGCAAGTTCAAATACTCAAAAAGCCAAGCAAAATCAGGGCTGAAACATATCCACCAAGCAAGACAACGCAGCGGTCACCGCAGCCCTGGTAGTTTTAGTGGATTAGCAGGAAGATCGACCCAACAGCAATGCTGAACTTCCAGCGAGGGATACTAGAGATGATGAGAACATGAAAGCTTTTAAAGACACTTTACTTGAGGGATGGGTTGGCCAAAGGAGGACACAAATTACAGGGACAGTTTTGTGATCTGTTCTTTTTTAAGGTGGAAGGAAAAAGCCAAAAGAGCGAGATGTTGAAGAAAAGGGAGTTAAGGAAGAAGCAAGTTTCCGAGGAGGAAACAGAGCTGTGAGGACAGAACATAGCTTTCTGCTGGGTTGTGGGAACCCAAGGCAAGCAGCTCAGGAAGTTCCTGTCCAGGGTCCCTGTTTCTCAGGGAAGTACAAGTCAAATCGTTTTCTGAGGATGATGAGGGAGGCCTCCCTGGTAGCGCCCTGAGGACGGCACCCAGAGTCTGGAGTGGGAGAAGCTGCAGGCCAGGTTTGCTGGGCAGTGAGTGGGCCCAGCAGAAGGGGGAGGCCAGGAGTCTGACAGGGCCCCAGACCATGGTGGTGCAGGATTGCTCGCAGTGTGCTCCTGGAAGCCAGGACGACACTGACAGCATGACTAGCCAGAGCTCTGGGGACAGTTAAGGAGGCAAGACAAGGGCATAAGAGCCCCTTGAGGGCACTGGTGGTAAGAGAACATTTTAAGCCCTGAGAAGCTGTCTCAACAAACAGGGGAAGTGGCCACCTGGACAAGTCACGGGCCTGCAAACTGCAAGGAGGGAAAACAACAGAGTGAAATCAGAATAAATGAGAGCTAAACTGAGAGAATGTTGTGGTCAGAGAGTGAAATATTTAACTGAAAAGTTAAGAGGCAGAGCTAACTGCACAAGACTGCCAGCATTCTGCAATTCTACCACAAGCTTTGGAACAAGTTATCTCAAGCCTCAGGGCCTAGGTTTCATTTCCACCCTCCCCCCCGCCCAGTTTCCTAAAACTTCATCATTTTATACTAAGACATATGTCCAGGACAAAGCATACCTCATAAGAATTGCTAGGTCCCACATAACAAGAGCAGTGAATATAAATCATGTACTATCAGGTGAACATTAGATTATTTTAAAGCTAATCATTGAGTTGATGGCTTATCTGACCTCCTGGCCTTTCTTCCTCCTCTTCCTCCTACTCTGCCCACTGTCCAATTTGGGGATCTCTCCTGTGTCTGGAACTTAAACAGAGAACATATTAGGTAGGCTAGGATGAACGATCAGATGAACTTCAAATCAGCATTGACTCTTTAGAAGTTCCAACACAGTCTACAAACTATTAGGACTGAAGTGAAAGCTGAATAGTATTGCTAAGTATAAAAGTCAATATTTGAATATTATAACATCCCCAAATATCATCAATAACCAATTAAAATACATAAAGTAAAAATTAGCAGTAACAACAGTTACAAAAATTACAGAGTACCTAAAAAAATCTCACAAAATACAAGCTCTTTTATTGAAAATTACAAAATAGTATTTAAGGAGACAAAAGAGAACTGAATAAACAGAGAGTATGTCATTTTGAATACTCATTCAATAAATATTTATGAAGCACCTACTATGTGCTGGGACTGTTAAGTGCTGAAGACACAGAACTGAACAAAACAGACAAAAATCCTTGCCCTCATGGAGTTTACCCGATGCTGTGGATTATAGGTTAATCTCTAAATTCACTGTGATCATGCTCAAAATCTCAACAGGATTTTTTAAACTAGATGAACTGATTCTAAAATCTACATAGAAAAATAAATGTCTAAACCCAGGGAAGTTCTGGAAAAAGTGCTTGCACTACCAGATATCAAGGCTTGCTGCAACAATGCAGAGACAGAAAAATAAGATCAACAGAGAAGAACTGAGAGCCCCAAAACAGACCCAGGTATGAATGGCCAGTGAAAATATAAAAAAAAAGATGGTACTATAAATCATTGAAAAAAACTGCACTACTCTTGTAAGAGAGGACAACTGGTTACCAGTGAGGAAAATAAAAAACAGATTCCCATACTTCACACAAATACAACAATAAACTATAGACTGATTAAAGTCCAAAAATGTCACACATATGCTCATGCAAACACACATGCACTTCAAAAACAAAAGTATTAAAAGAAATATGGTTATAACCTTGAGTTGGGAAACAATTTCTTAGATAAGATACAAAAGGCACAATTCATAAGAAAAAAGTTTAATAAATCTAACATCGAATTCAAAACTTCTATACACAATAATTCATAAATGAAGCAAAAAGTCAAGCCACAGACCATAAGAAAAAAGGAAAACCAGAGAAGAGAAAACCAGGATGGCCGATAGACATATATAAAGATGTCCAACCCTCACAGAAGGAAATGCCAATCATTTAGATGCCACTTTGCAACCATTAGATTGGCAAAAATCAAAAGTCTGACCAAGTGCTGGTGAGGGTGTGGGAAAACAGGAATTGATAATCAGTGCAGATAGGAGTATAAATTGGTGCAACCACACTGGGGAAGGATTTGGCAATACTTCACCAAAATGAAGATAAGCACACCCACACACAACATTACCATTTCCAGATATTTAATGAGTTGCCTCGTTTGTAGAAGCAAAAAAGAAAAAAAAAATGGGAACAATCTAAATGTTCAATTATAGGACAGCAGGATAATAAATGACAAGGTACTCTTAAGAGGGAATAATAAATCATAAAATGAATTAAGTATATTCAGATGCACTGCAACACAAATAGAGTTCAAGAACAATGTGAAAAGGGAAAGCTCTACACAGAATTATAGGTAACAGTATGATAGTATTTACCTACATCTTAAAAACACATAAAGTCCTTCTATATATTGTTCATAACTATCCATACATAAATGAAATATAATGACATACATAGGAATGAGAATAAAATCGCAGCCACGGTTACTACTGAGGAGGGAAACAAAAGGGACTTGAGCTTTCAGGAAAGCTCTTTCTCTTGCTCAAAAAAAAAAAAAAAAAAAAGTCTGAAGCAAAAACATCCAAATATTTTTTTATTTCTGATTTGTGGATTTCTGACATTATTCTGTGTACTTGTCTGTATTTTTGACTTAATTTTTTTCCTTCAGTCGACTCATGTCTTATTAACACTAATGAGAAATTCAGAGGAAGAGAAAAATTAAACTGGGTAAGGTAGGGTTTGGGGAAATCTATGAATTTCTGCCAACAGTCATGTTTCTGTTTCCCATCATCAAAGGGCATCAGAAGTCACGTGGGCAGAGTAAACCCTCCAGGTGATAATGCACAGCACAACAACGTTACAGGAAAGATCTCAAGGCCAGTTCTCCCAGCGTGTGTCTCACCTCTCGCACGTGTCTTTTCAGGTGCATGTATACACTCTGTCCAGTTTTTCGAAAATGTCTTTCAACATGTTCCCTTCCAAAGGCCAAAAATGTATTCATGCATACATAGAGTCCACCTTCAGAATTCTAGGAGAAAGAGACAGATGACAAAATTAGCCGAGCATACCTCGCCAAGTCATTTAAATACAAAAAAGGGGAAGGGAAGGAGGGCGAACGAGGAAGACAAGGCCCAGCAAAAGGCCACCTGGTCGTCGTAGTCCCCTGCAATGACCCTCCAGGGCTCCACAGCCACGCACGGCAGCAGCTCCCACCCCAACCCCTGCTTCCAGGTGCTCCCAGAGAGCTGCCCACAATTTCCCAGTTGCGAGAGCCTCAGAGGCCCTGGGAAATCCACCTGCTTGTCTGACTCTCCAAACTGGGGTAAAGGACAATAAGGGAAAGAAGAAGCTTGGCCAGTGATCCAACTCCTACCACTGCAATGGTTTATCAATCGCTCTTCACTGATCAATGCAAGTCTCCGGGAACAGAAAGTTATATACTCTTTTAGCAGGACGGGGTTCTTCGATTCAAAAATATTCATCCCTTCCTTCGGTGACACATGATATGTGATGGTACCCATTAATAAATTAGGACAGTTTAATAAATCAATAAAAACTTAATGAGTAAATAATAAAGGATGGAGTCCTATCATAATCCTAGCTACTTATTTTTGCATCCCTGATATGTGCCAGGTGCTCCTCATATACTATTTCTAAGCCTGACAATACCACAAGCTGCTTATTATTATTTCCATTTTACAGTTTAAAAAAAGAACTGAGGATAAGTCACTTGTCCAAGTTCACATGGCTTGAAAGTGTCAGTTAAACTAAAGCTATTTCTCTTTCTATGCCACATTTCAAATATTATTTAATTCCTGACATACTGACACAGTGAACAGTCAAGGATATTGTTCACATTTTGGATGCTTGAGTTTCTATCCCAATTTCATCTCTCCTCTTTCTCTCAATTTACCTATAAAATTAGCCATCCTTGGGGCATCTGGGTGGCTCAGTCGGCTGAGCATCTGATTCTTGGTTTCGACTCAGGTCATAATCTCTGGGTTGTGAGATCAAGCCCCACACTGGACTCCGGGCTCAGCTCAGAGTCTACTTGAGATTCTCCACCTCTGTCCCTTCCCTTCTCCCCCTTAAATAAATAAATAAATAAATAAATAAATAAATAAATAAATAAATAAAATCCATAAAATTAGCCATCCTTTCCTCAATGAAAGTGGATTTTTATTAAGCTCTTGTCAGTGTCACCTCACCAAATAATTTTTTTAAATAATTTTTAAAAAATCTATCAGAATTGCCAACAAGCGCCTATCAAAATCCCTTACATTTTAGTGGAGCACAAATTCAACATCAAAACAGGCACTGATGTTCACTACAAATACATGAAAAATAATTTTTAAGTTCCAATAACTCAAGATTGTATATATTTTCAACTTCTAATAAAATTCTCCAACACTGTATCTTTGGTTTATAAGCCGGACATAAATGATTCTTATCACAATGAGGATATTTATAGCATCATTAGTTCAGATATGTGTCTATTATTGTAGCAAATATATTGCATAAGGCAAGAAAAGGAAAAAGGCATAAAGATCACAAATAAAGGGGCGCCTGGGTGGCTCAGTCGTTAAGCGTCTGCCTTAGTCTCAGGTCATGATCCCAGCGTCCTGGGATCGAGCCCCACGTCAGGCTCCCTGCTCGGCGGGAAGCCTGCTTCTCCCTCTCCCACTCCCCCTGCTTATGTTCCCGCTCTCACTGTCTCTGTCAAATAAATAAAATCTTAAAAAAAAAAAATCACAAATAAAGAAGTAAAATGGTCTCGATTTGCTCATAACATTATAGTCTATATGGAAAATCCTTAAAAATCTACAAACTACTAACTAGTAAAACTCATAAATGAATTTAGCAAGGTCATGGAATACAGGCTTATAGGAAAAATCAATTTCAATTTTATACTCTGGCAACAAACATCTTGCAAATGAAATTTTTAAATTTGACTATAAAATAGCATTCAGAAAACTCAGAGTTATTTAGTTTGTGCTTCTGGATAACTTTTTCTCTTTGAATGAGATCATTTGAATAAAACTAGAAAAGTTTTTCAACTAAAGGCAACATACTATATTCACTTGATCAACAGATTAAATCCTTTCAAAAGTTTTAAATAGACATGTTTTTTGCATAGTCATAACCCTTACAAAACTTACATCATTATAATGGTGAGTTATTCATTAGGACCATTAAATTGAGCACCACATACTGTGATTTTAAAAAATAACATTTCCATTCTCTTCCAATAAAATGTAATTCAATCAAAAAGAATTCAAACCAGAAGATATACCAGGGAAAATATGAGATTTGTAACCAGGGTCCTGAACTGTCACTAATTAGCTCTGTGGCCTAAAGGTTATCATTCAGTCTCTAAGCTTCAGTATTTTCCTTGATAAGCATGGCCAGCAATAATTCCCACCTCACAGGGTTTTGTTAAGTTCAAAGTGGGTGAGCTTTTCTGCCCGTGGACGCATCGTTAAAATCTCCCCTCCCACCGCCGTCATGTCTAAGTCAGAGTCTCCCAAAGCTGAACAGCTGCGGAAGCTCTTCATCAGAGGTCTGAGCTTTCAAACAACCGAGGAGTCTAAGGAGCCATTCTGAGCAATGAGGAACGCTTACGGACTGTGTGGTAATGAGAGATCCAAACACCAAGCGCTCCAGAGGCTTTGGCTTTGTCACGTATGCCACTGTGGAGGAGGTGGATGCAGCCATGAACACAAGGCCACACAAGGTGGATGGAAGAGTTGTGGAACCAAAGAGGGCTGTCTCAAGAGAAGATTCTCAAAGACCTTGTGCCCACTTAACTGTGAAAAAGATTTTTATTGGTGGCATTAAAGAAGACACTGAAGAACATCATCTAAGAGATTATTTTGAACAGTATGGGAAAATTGAAGTGACTGAGATCATGACTGACCGAGGCAGTGGCAAAAAGAGAGGTTTTGCTTTTGTAACATTTGATGACCATGACTCTGCAGATAAGACCGTCATCCAAAAATACCGTACTGTGAATGGCCACAACTGTGAAGTAAGGAGAGCCCTATCTAAGCAAGAGATGGCTAGTGCTTCATCCAGCCAAAGAGGTCGAAGTGGTTCTGGAAACTTTGGTGGTGGTCGTGGAGGTGGTTTTGGTGGTTTTGGAATGACAACTTTGGTCATGGAGGGAACTTCAGTGGTCGAGGTGGCTTTGGTGGCAGTCTAGGCGGTGGTGGATATGGTGGCGGTAGGGATGGCTATAACGGATTTGGTAATGATGGAAGCAACTCTGGAGGTGGCGGAAGCTATAATGATTTTGGCAATTACAACAATCAATCCTCAAATTTTGGACCATGAAAGGAGGAAATTTTAGAGGCAGAAGCTCTGGCCCCTATGGTGGTGGAGGCCAGTACTTTGCCAAACCACGAAACCAAGGTGGCTACGGTGGTTCCAGCAGCAGCAGTAGCTATGGCAGTGGCAGAAGGTTTTAATTACTGCCAGGAAACAAAGCTTAGCAGGAGAGGAGAGCCAGAGAAGTGACAGGGAAGCTACAGGTTACAACAGATTTGTGAACTCGGCCAAGCACAGTGGTGGCAGGGCCTAGCTGCTACAAAGAAGACATGTTTTAGACGATACTCATGTGTATGGGCAAAAAACTCGAGGACTGTATTTGTGACTAATTGTATAACAGGTTATTTTAGTTTCTGTTCTGTGGAAAGTGTAAAGCATTCCAACAAAGGGTTTTAATGTAGATTTTTTTTTCTTTTGCACCCATGCTGTCGATTGCTAAATGTAATAGTCTGATCACGACGCTGAACAGATGTGTCTTTAAAAAAAAAAAAAGTTCAAAAGGGGTGAGATACATTTCGTGCTGTAAAGCATTACATAAACAATAGCAATTATTTATTATGAGCTACAGTTCCGTGTGCCACGTGTATCTCCTATTATCTCAATTATTTTATAATTGGGGGAAATAAGCAGAAGGAAGAAAACAGTGAGTCTGACATCCACACTGGCTGGGGGCAACAAATACTAATCTATCAGAAAAACATACTAACCAACTAGCAGGAGAACCAAGAAATTAGCAAGTGGAAGAAGAAACATGTTCAAGTACAGCATTTTTCTGGAGAAAAACACAGAATAGCTATATAATGCAAGAGTTTACAAAGTAATCTCTAAAATAGTCATAAAGTCTTTGCTAATTTCATTGCCAAGAGTTTTTGACTTACTAGGGAATTTGATAAAAAATCTAATATACCCCAAACATTCATTCTCAATTCCTGGGGTCCCCTGATATTGTCACAAAGTCCATAATCAGAGAGGAAAATGCTTTAGCACTCGGAGGCAAATGGCCCCACATAGGGAAGATTCTATGACAGACATCCTCGGGTCTCGTCCACCCCACACACGGCTGGCTTCTGAAGCCCTGTGTACCCCTCCACCAGCAGCTCTGAGACGGGGGTGCTCCCCACAGCACTTGCCACCAGTACTAAAACTTCAGGACACAGTGAGATCCAAACCTCTTTAAAAGCTACCCCATATAGAACAAACACTTCAGTCTAATGATCCATGCTTTCTTCCCTCTTGCCGTATTAATGTCTACGTAGTGATCCTGTAAGACTCTTTTCACATTCAAAGGCAGTACTCCATGCCATGTGCTCTGAACACCTTCTTTCGCTAATGATAAGCCTATGCTGACAAGTCTTTCTCTCCCAATTCCTTTGGTTGATAGCCGGGGGTCAGAGCTGAGCTGACTCTTAGTTTTCCAACCCTCAACCTCATGCTCTCATTAACCAGCTGCACCCCCACTAAGATTACTGCCCTGGAAAATACCGTAAAGCAGTTGCCTTCCTGTGGCCGAAAGTGCAGCCTTGAAATCGGGCAGGACCTTCTTTTGCATAAGCACTGTGCTAAAATTGCAGAAACTAAGATCACGTCTTGGGTTTTGTAATGATGCTAGGCAAAGTACATTCAAGAAGAAAAGGAACTGCCCCAGAGTGTAAAGACTGGGGTGAGTCTCTCAATGTCCAGTGTCCTTTGTCTTAAGGTGTG